GGGCAGGGGGCCGAGGGGGCGGGGGCGGCAGCCGGGTGGTCGTCTTAAACCCCCTTAGGCTAACTGGCCGCGTTTGGAAAGCATGCCTCTTGTCACTGCTCTGGACCCGGCTGCCTGGAGCGCGCCTGCTCGCAGCGCCGGAGCCGGGCAGCCTCGGGCCGGGAGTCCGGGTTTCCCCGGGGGCGCCGCAGTCCGCCCCTTCGTTAAGGCCGACGCCCGGGCCGGCTCGGTCCCGGCTCGGAAAGACGCTCTCCCGGGCCCAGGAGGCACCCGCCCCGTTTAAGGCAATTGCAGGGCAAGGAAGTTCCAGGCCGAGCCAAGAAGCTGGGGCTTAGGTGGGTTTCCTTCCCTGTCTTACCGCTCCTCGGGGACCGTCCCGTCGTGTGTGGTGTCCCTGCTAAGGAGTTAACGCCCAAAGTCCTCTTGTTTTCGAAACGAAAAGATTAATGGAGGACATTCACGGAGTGAAGTGAAAGGGTAACATGGGTGCATTGTTTCCTTTTCTCTTAAAAGAAAAGCTTTACACCAACCGTCGATTGGGAAGAATTTAACTGGGAACATTTTTAAAAATTAATTTGTAGTGTGGCTATGAAGAAAATCACATTTTGTGGACTTTTCACACATATGGAATATAAATTTTATGCCTTTCCTTTTAAAAAATCCCACTAGTCACACATCACAAAAAATAATGTAGCGTTTCCTTTCACAAATTGTCACGGAGTTTGAGAAACATAAGGATGATGCAAAAGGTTCTTGGGTCTTGTTTTTTCTTTTTGGTCTCTTTAAAAAAATTAATAATTGAAAACTTGAGTTAAAAGGATAAAGTACAAAATGTTAAAAATTTTAATCCATCTGAATTGTTCTCTTTACATGTGACATATCTGATTTTTAGGGACTTCAGAGCAAAATAATATTGATTATTAATAGGGTGAATTTAGCAAAGATCAGACCAAGGCAAAAATCCTCAATCTTTTTTTCCTTTGGGAAATCAGAAATAAATAAAAATTTAAATATTATATTCCAATTTATTTTAAGATGTAAATATATTCAATATGGGAGTGGTTTTTCAACATGGGATGTAATTCTTTTATTTATTTTTAACTATGACAGTGCAAAGATTCTTTAATGGTTAGAACTCAAGGCCAGAAGTTGGTAAATTTCTCTGGCTGAGTGTCTCAGTCTTGTGAAACAATTTACAAGCCATCCTTTGTAAACTGCCTAGTTCTCAGGGTAGAACAGCTGTTTCTTAGGTTGTAGGCCATGGAATAAGGTACAAGTCATGAGGGAAGATGAAGCCTCCTCCTCTGATAAGTGCAGAGAAAAGACGACATTCCTGGTCACTTGAGGCAGCGCCTCCGTGAATGCAAAGTACCTGGCTCTGGCCCAGCCTCCGCCCCACTTCTGTTCTGGCCTCAGGGCTGGGTTGGGGGAGGAAGACATTTTCCTCTACCCTTCTGGGTTCTTCTGGCTGGTCTGAGAATTAAACAGACATGAGACGGGTTAACAGGAAAAACTCAAAGTTTAATAACATGTAAACATGGGAGACCCAGGAGAACTGAGTAACTCACCAAACTGGCTGAAATCCTCACCTTGAATAGCATCCTGAGATAGACTAAAGAGGAGAGGATTGGGGTTAGTGATTTGGGACTTCAAAGAGGAGAAAAGCAATTCACATGGAGACGGAAAAGCAAATGTTTGGTTAAGCAAAGTATGCTCAGATCCCTAAGAGCTCCAGCGCCACACCTGGCCCACAGCCCCTGTTGACATCTCTGGTGCTCATTCTACTCCTGTAACAGGCCCTCCATCAAAATCTGATTCAGGCAGCTAAAGGCGAGGTCAAAGTTTCCTCCCGAATCTTTTGAGCCTTGGTTATTTTTAGCTCAAAATAATCAGCATGCCAATGAGACATTTATGGTGGCAAATTTTGCTCATCTGCACTGGCTTCATCAGATAACCGTATAATACATGTTTGTTCCTTGATCTTCTTTTTCAAAAAACATTTGCCTCAATTCTACCATATTTATTTTTCCAGTTGAATTTTACAGCTGGTGGGTCATGATCCTCATCAATCAAAAAAGTCTCGTAAATATTTTTATTAAAAATGAGTTAAATTTATGTATTCATTCAAAGGAAAGCAACATTTTTTGACCTTAGTATCTTTTGGAAGGACCTGCACTTTTCTGGCTAAACTTATTCTTGGTCATATGTGTGTGCTGCTGTATAAACAGGACTTTCCCACTATGTTTCCTAAGTGTTTATTGACAGAATGTAGGCATGCCATTGACTTTTGTGTCCTCATTTGGCTCTAGTCACCTTACTTCTTCCTGGTTAATTCTGGTTGCTCCCTGCACTGTCACCTCATCTTGGAGCCCTGCCAGGGCAGAAGGCCTCCCAGGGAGGAGGCAGGAGTCAGTTTCCAAGCCCCCTCACTACTCTGCATCTCTGTTTTGGCTGAAGTTGCCCATTGGCTGGACCCAACCAGAAGCCAGAAGGCTTGGGAACTGGATGTGGCCCTCAGAGACGGAGAAGGGAGAGGAGGGTGGGAGAGTGGCTCTAGGAGATGGGAGAGCTGCGTAACTCCTGAGAAGGGAGATGAGCCACGGCCATACACCTGTCCTGGGCTGAGGGCTGCACTGGTCATACCTCCACTGCCCGCACTAGACGGGCAAAGGCTTGAGAACCGTCTTTCTGTTTGGGCTCCAGGATGTCTGAGCTGGAGAAGGCCATGGTGGCCCTCATTGACGTCTTCCATCAATATTCCGGAAGGGAGGGTGACAAGCACAAGCTGAAGAAATCTGAGCTCAAGGAGCTCATCAGCAATGAACTCTCCCATTTTTTAGAGGTGAGTCTTGCTTTTTAAAACTCCCCTATGCACTTTCTCCTCCGAGTTGCTTCTAAAAATGTGTTTGCACAGTTGAACCTTCAGTGTGGAGGCTGGCTTAGGTAGACCTCACACTTTCATTTTCATCTGTTTTGTGTCCAGTAGGAGCATGAAGGAGGAACTGCTATCTCAAACACAAAAGTACAGGCTTCAAATAAAACTGACTTTTCTCTGAAAAACCTAAGGATTTGCAGCAATAATGATGACAGAATGGGATGTAAAATATACTCATGACTTATCATGGGCCATAGTGAACATCTAAGCAGGCTGTTAAAAATAAGCTTTTGTTCTTAGGACCAGGACTCTTAGCTTTAGCTCCGTGGTCTGCATCCACCATGGTGATGATAAAGATGCTGTTCACTCAGCAGACACCACTGAGCTCTCACCACGGTCAGTGTCGCGAGAGACACAGCCCCGACTCGGCCCCTGCTTCTGGGGCACCTGCCTGGCTCGTCAGTGCATGGCCACAAGCCACTGACTGAGGGCATGAGAGAGAACCTGGCGTCTCTGAGGCCCTGGGGCCTGGGGCGGGGGGCTCTGTGGGGTAAGGACCTTGGAGAAGATCTCAGGAGACTGCCTGAGGGCTCCTGGTGAGCACCGTCTTCCTCATGGGTCCCACCTGGTGGAAGTGTGTCCAGACTCTTCATCGAGGACTCCCTGCCTCACCCCCATTTCCCAGGCCTCGGGTAAGCCACACATCACCTCTCCTGAATCAGTCTCCTGTCCTCGAGGCCATGAACTGTCCTCCTGCAATCCACCTGGTACCTGACTTCCCTTGGTGTCCAGACCCGAGGTCACTGAAGTAACCAGTCACACGCAGTGGAAATGGCCAGAAGATGAACCAGTGCACTGTGTCTGACCAAGAGCTAATTCCAGGGAATACCCTGGGGCCCTACTGCACGGTGGTGGGGAGTTGCCCTCCTGGCAGGCTGAGTCTCAGTGTTGGACAAGCCCCCGGTTCTGGCAGCCAGGCAGCAGCTGCTGTCTGCAGGGCTGGCCCCACCCAACCCCGACACTCCATTTCTGTGAATGGCGCCACCGGTGCAGGGGAAGCAGCCTGCAGGTTTGGGGGGGGCTTCCCCTAGTCTGATTCTGAAGCTGTTTCTCAGGCATCGAGGTCCACAAAGTGGCAGCTGCCCCACTCGCTTTCACTCACCTTGTCCCACCGGGTCTGCCTCCTAACCTAGCAACCAGGAAGTCCCAGATTCTTCTGCAAAGCGGACTGATGTAAGGGTGAGATGAGCCAGTGCCCTGCTCATCACATGTAGCTACTGTCATTAATTACTGATTTAAAGCACAGGAAAAGCTTAGCATGTGGGAACCACGTTTATAGTAAGATAAGTGATTCACGGTAAGTGTATCAAGGTATCACGAATATTGTTGGCCTGGTTTTGTGAGGCAGCTTCTGTTTGGAGGTGAGTCCATCATGAAACAGCAATTAATCTTTCATCAGATGCTTATGGGCCCCACCCCGGCCCCAGGGTACCTCAATCTTGTACCCATTTTATATCCAAGGCGGCCGACGCGCTTCCTGTGACTCCTTCCAGCCGCGCTCCCCTGCACTGGGGACTGACTGTTCCGAACAGTCTGCCTTTATGCCCTTCTTTGCGGTCAGCGTTCATCTGCCCACCACATGCCTGTTCCCCTGAGACTGTCTCACCACTCACCTGGCTCCAAGTTGGGCAGAATGTCAGCGAAAGTCCCAGGACACCTGGAAAGCAGCTCAAGTGACAAAGCCTGTTCCCAAGAGTTATTTCAGCCAAAACTCATTTTCAAAACATGAAAACCCACTGGAAGCCTTCACTGTAGGGCCTTCCACACACAGAAACAGTGAAAAACTTGGTGAGGGTGTGGACAAAGGTCATTCTTGCTTTAAAGACATTGCGTATAATACGTTCGGGCCAATTTAGGCCGTAGTCTTCTTTTCTGGGTGTTTCTGTTTTAACACAAACAACCTCAGATTTTCAGATCTTGGCTGTTCCATTCAGCCTTTTTTAAGCAGCCCAGGCTCCACTGGACATAAAGAAGGTGGCAGAGAAGGCTCGGACTGCCAGAGACTTCTGCCAGCCAGCAGCCTCCTGATCCCAGGAGAAATCTCACCTGGCATTTTGCATTTTATGTCTTAGGTTGTTTCTGATACAAATTACTAAAGCCAGCCAAATTTTAATCATGCTTCGATGGCCCTAAACTTCATTTAGAAACATGCTGGGTGACTTCTCTTCTCTCTCTCAGGAAATCAAAGAGCAGGAGGTTGTGGACAAAGTCATGGAAACACTGGACAACGATGGAGATGGAGAATGTGACTTCCAGGAATTTATGGCTTTTGTTGCCATGGTTACCACTGCCTGCCACGAGTTCTTTGAACACGAGTGAACGGGAGAAAGCAGGCAGGCTGTCCCTGTAGCAGAGACGGAGGCCACGCGGGAAGCGGAGGGCAGGGCTTGCAGGACAGTAGGAGCTGAGCTTTCCAGCTGCATTGTCGCTAATTAGGAAGCTTGACTTGCTTTGTGAATGAAGAATTGAAACCTCTTTCCGAGGGCTGTTTTTAACGGCCCCCATCATTAGTCCTGTGCTGTTAGGCGTACATGTTAGCCGACTGGTCCCAGGGACTCGTGGTACTCAACATTTAGGAAAGTCAGTTCTCAGTCACAAAGCACTGCTATCCTGGCTGTGTAGACTCCTAACTCAGAAAAACAGACTACCTGTCAAACATGACTGCGGGCTAAGCTTCCACTACATTTAAAAATACAAATCTTGGTCTACCATCCTTTGGAAAGGCTGCCCTTCATTAAGCCTGTTCATCATTGGAGCAAATGAAACCTGATGTGATTGGGCCTGACAGTCTGTCCCACCCACCCAAAGCGCACGGTCACATTCAGTCCCCTTTCTTGCAGTGAGCTGTGATCACCGAGTCTGTAGTTAATGCTAAGTCCTAATGGAAAGTGTGTCCCATAAAGGAGCAAGTACTGGCATTGTAGCTGTAATCGGAGCTGAGAGTCAAACTTCAGTGGGGTTCTCCTGACAGGATCACACTTGTTGGCTCTGCGGGACGTGTGGCAGAGGGAGCTTGGCCGGAGCCCATGGCGGGACTCGGCTCTGCCTGGGCGGACAGGAGTGTTCTGCCCTGTCTGCAGAATGACTGGTTATGATGTAAGTGGCTGGACTGTTGGTGAAGGTCATTCCTGACCTGTCTGTGTGCAGACAGGGTCTGCTTGTGACTGTTGGTAAAGTTGGTGAACTTCATGAGCGTTACGCTTTCGTATCCACCAATTCAAATAAATTGTTTCAAATGGTCAAGTTACAAATATTAAAAAAATCACTTTCGGGAAAAGTCAAATTAATCTTATCATGCACCCTTTTTGTTTTGCTTTTTTTTTAAGGACATAGACTTGGAAACTCATAAACCAACAGATTGCTTGTACTTGCTTTAACTGAAAAGCAGTTTAGTAAGTCTCCATGGTCATTAACCGTGAAATAAAAGCTAAATTCCTGCAAAACTGGGGAAGGAGTCAAGTTTACGTGGCCTGGCTTTATCGAAGTTGCTGATGCTGTGTCCCCTAGCCGGGGACGCACGAGGCAGGAGGCTCAGGTGGGAACCATGGCGGTGGGGGGGGGGTCTGCTGGGGTGGGTCGGAGCCCCGCAGGATAACCTTCCCTGTCATTAGTGCCCACCGCCTCCTGCCAGGAACTTGTGGCCTGGTGGGCCTCATGTGACCTTTTCTAGACCAGTCGCCAGAGAGGGGAACTGCGATTGGCTCTGACAGTCACGTGCCTGCCTGCAGGCAGGACTGCGTCAAAGGCTGGAAGTGGCTGGGGGTGGGCGTGGTGGAAGCCTGTGCTCGGGGACGGGCTGGGCTTGATTCCAGCTTGGCGTTGCTCCTGGGCCCGGCCTGGGCCAGTCGCTGTGGGTGTTGGGAGGGTCAGTTCTGCGCTGGTGGGTGTCGTCCCACAGGCCTGACCACCCAGACGTTTGGGGAGAGGAGGTTGGCGGTTGTTTCCCTGTCACAACCCCTGCTGGCCCACCCTGGCCCCTCCCCAAGGCTTGCAGGCCCCTCAACAGCCTCAGAGGGAAGGAGGAGCCGACACTGGGCAGGATGGAGGGGGCAGGTCTCTGGGGGAGCAGCCCCTGGAAGAGGCCAGCAGGGAGTGCGGTGGGCTTGGACAGGTGAGACTCAGACCTGAGCTCCACACCCTGAGAGCTTCCAGAGACCCTCTCGTGCAAAGCCCAAGGTGGGAAGCAGAGGTGGGAGCAGCCTGGGTTCCCTGAGAACTGGGGCTGCAGGGGTTGAGAGAGAGGTGGGCCCAGTGGGGGTTGTTAAAGTGGACTGGGGTTCAAAGCAGCTTCCCACAGGACTCCCAGTCTGTGGACCAGGCTAGGGGCTGCCCTCTGTTGCTGCTGCTGTCTTGAAATTCTTGGAAACTTTTTGGGGAGGAGCCTGGCATTTCGTCCTGCACTGGGTCATTTAAATTATGGAGCTGGTCCTGGACACTGGGCAATAGTGGAGATAAAACCCAGCAGGATCCTGCATGGCTCTTGTGGGTACAAATGCCCCTCTGTGTCCTCTGTTTCTTGTTTGAAGGAAAGGGCTTTGGTCTCCTAGGCCTTCCCTGAGTTGCACAGGGCAGGCACGAGCAGTTGCTAATTAGAGAAGTGAGGGAACGCAGACACACATGAAAAGCAGTCAAGGAACGATAGTGCAGGCATGAAGCAGGCTCACAGGGCTCAGTTCCTTCTCAAGGGAGACACATAACGGTCTGTCACGTATCTGCCAGTTGTTCTGCAGAAACTGAGGACCCCCCCCACCCCTGCCAGCAAAGGATGGTGACTACATACTGACACCAGCATGCAGACCCCAGATTGACTAGAACCGAAAGTTTGAGATTGATTCCTGAAACGTCACCCTGTTACCTCAACACCAACCAATCAGAAGAAAGTCATGCACCCTGTAGCTCTCACCCTAAATTTGCCTTTAAAAATCCCTCCCTGGAAGCCATCAAAGAGTTCGGGTCGTTTGAGCACGAGCTGCCCATTCTCCTTGCTGGGCGCCTGCAAGTAAATGCTGTGCTTACCTTCACCACAATCGGGGGTCAGTACATTGACTTTGCTGCACAGCAGGTGAGCAGACCCAAGTTTGGTTGGTAACAGGTGGTGAAATAAAATTTATATTTTACGGCAGGGCAAGAAAAGTTAAACTTAAAATTCTGTGTCTGTTTGGGCCCTTCCCTCCCTCTCTCGTGTGCATCTGTGTCACACGTTGGCCAGAGCTCCTCAGTGGGGGCCCCTGCTCCACCACAAAGATCATTTTTTCCTTTGTTCTGAGGCTAGCATTGTAACTTCTTGAAAGAATAGGGCTCTTTCCCTGCTCTGCAGGGGGTTGTGGTGACCTGCTGCTCACTTTGCACGTGCTCACCTGGACCATGTATCCTGGTGAACTTTGTGTAAAATAGTGTGTCATTTTGACATATGATCCTTTGTGTCAAAATTGTATAATACGACTACACCTTCGACTTCTAACAGGCAGAAGAGTTCTGAAAGCTTTCTGAGAATCTGTCTCCTGAGTTATAACCCTCAGTCTGGCTCAAATAATACTCCCTTTTTCCTTGTTAACTTGATAGTTAGTTGCATTTCATCAACACTTTCTTGGCTTAGTCAGCAGGGTATCAGAAACACCCACCAGAGGACACCTGGAGTCTGTCCCAAACCAGTGTTTGGTACCAGCACGGGCTCTATGAGCCCCACCCGCCTCTCAGTACTCCTCAGGTGCTTTGGTGCTTTCTCCTGATATCCAGACATCACTGCTTTAACTGACGTCCTGAAGTTTACTTGAGCTGTATTTCTTGGGACTTGGAGTCCTAAGGGGATACTGGTACATTTCCTGGGCAGGGACCTAGGGGGAACTTTGGAGTGACTTGGGTTGGCTGTCTTTTTAAAATATTGGATTAAATTGGAAAGATTACATACATATGGCCTGAATAAACTGCTCATAAAATGAGAGACTGAGCCTGGTCAGGTCCAAAGAAAAAGGAACATCTCCTTCCGCCCACAAGGCATTGTCAGGTGACTGAGAACCTAGCAGAAGTGTCTGAGGATCAGTCCTCCAGAAGGGAAGCGGCCCTACAGTGGATCTCACTAGAACCATTAGGTAAGTGATGCTCCCTGTGGGGCAGGGTTAGGCTGATCACCGAGTGCCCTGAGCACCCACGGTGGTTTTAGGCTGTCGGAGGGAGAAACCAAGACACATGAGAGAGTGGAACGGACCCAAGGGCAGCAACTCAGACAGCGCGCATCTGATCCATCACCCTGCCCGCAGGAAGCTGTTCAGATCACAGCCAAATTAGAATACCAAGTTAATAACGGGAAACCAGGAAACCAGGAAACCGTGCCTCAAAGGCCGAGCAGCTCCTGGATGCACAGACACTGGAACTCCTTCTGGCTTCATGTCCAACTGGAACAAAGCCCATGCCTGCAAGCACTTTTCTTAGTTCTTAAAAGGCCAGGATGGAGCTCTTCTGAGATTCTAGAACTTTCCAAAATCCTGACCCTGAGAGAACAAGGTATCCCTGGGAGGAAGCCTGAAGCTCTTAACTCCCGTCTTGTTCTCCACTTCTCTGGGGATGCTCCGCCTGTTTATTCCATCCATCACAGAAGTGTGTGTGGCCTCCAGCCATCATTCTTTCGTCTCTATCAGGTTTTGCTCTGTGTATGTCAGTGCTCTATTGTTAGCTGCATATTTACCTGTAATTACTAGGTCTTCCTGATGGATTGGTCCTTTTATCATTATAAAGCGTCCCTCTTTCTCCCCTTCTCCCCCCGCCCACCCCCTCTGTGCCGAGCTTCTGGTGCTGCTCCCCAGGGAGGGGCAGTCTCGGGTTAAAGTCACCTGGGTGACTGGCTTGGGCAGGGCTGGCTAGTCTCTTTTCCTGACCACACCCACCAACTGCCACCTGCTTGCTCTACTGTTTTCAACAATGCTCTGGGGGCATAAATTGCTCTATAGCTTAATTTGATCCAATTCAGGATTTATTGAAGAAATAGTCCCAAGGTCGGTGTTTGAGATTTGTTCTAACCCCAGGAAGGGTCTTCCTAGCTGTCTCTTTCCCTGGTTCTCCCGAAACTAGCTGGCCTGCAATTTAGCCTGTATCTTCACTGAATCTGTGGATCTCCTCCCAATTGCCCTTTACCACACTGTACTGTTTTTGAATGTCCTTATGATTAATTTTCTCCATGCTCTGGTGCAAATGAAGTCTGAGAAGAGCTGAGAAATTTCCTGTTTTTGTTTGTTTGTTTGTTTGTTTTGATTGAAGTATACTTACAATGCTGTGTTAGTTTCTGGTGTACAGCATAGTAACTCAGTTATATATAGATTCCTTTTCATATTCTTTTTCATTATAGATTCTTACAAGCTGTTGAATATAGTTCCCTGTGCTGTACAGTAAGACCTTATTGTTTATCTGTTTTATATATAGTAGTTAGTATCTGCAAACTACGAACTCCCAATTTATCCCTCCATTCCCTTCCTCCCCCTCAACCATGTTTGTTTTCTATGTCTGTAACTCAGTTTCTGTTTTGCAAATAAGTTCATATGTCATTCTTTTAGATTCCACATATAACTAACATTATATGATATTTGTCTCTTACTTCATTTAGTATGATAATCTCTAGAGCTATCCATGTTGCTGCAAATGGCATTATTTTATTCTTTTTTATAGCTGAGTAGTATTTCATTGTGGAAATATATCACAACTTTATCCAATCATTTGTTGATGGACAATTAGGTTGTTTCATGTCTTGGGTATTATATATAGTGCTTCTGTGAACATTCGGGTGCAGGTATCTTTTCAAATTAGAGTTCCCTATGGATATATGCCCAGGAGTGGGATTGCTGGATCATAGGGTAAGTAAGTCTGTTTTTAGTTTTTTAAGGAATATCCATAGTGTTTTCCATAGGTGCCCCAAATTACATTCCCACCAGCAGTGTAGGAAGGTTCCCGCTTCTCCATACCCTCTCCAGTATTTATCATTTGTGGACTTTTTAGTGATGGCCATTCTGACTGATGTGAGGTGATACCTCATGGTAGTATTTGCATTTCTATGATTATTAGTGATATTGAGCATCTTTTCATATGAGGAGCTGTCTGTTTTATAGCTTGCTTCTACCAGCAGGCAGCATCTCTGAGCTGGGTTCAGGCCCAGGGGTGAGAACAGTGGTGCACGTCTCTCTGAGTGACACCCCTGCTTTAGATACTGAACACGCAGTAGCCTGAGGTCCTCCCCGCCTGCCTCTACCGGCATGGAGCCACCACCCTTTGAGCTGGGAAGTGCAACCAGGCCCTGTGTTCTCAGAGGCACTTGACCAAAGGTAGCTCCATTCCATGAGTGGAGGCTGGATGCAAGAAATCTCTCACTCCTCACAGGACTCACCAGCTCTGCAGCATCAACAGGTAACTGGGGGCAGGAGCCTGTGTTCTTGGCTGGGCCTGTTTGGAGTGGAGTGTCCGCGTGGCTCAGCTGGGAGGTGGGCGGGCGGGAGCGGCCTCAGTTCAAACAACAGACGCTTGCTTTTCTTACTGAACTTTCATGCACAGAAGTTTCTTCACTTACTGTATGTTCTTTGGACCATTTCCAACATCTTAAAATTAAAAAAAAAAATCTTCACCAGTTTTACTGGCTACCATGTTCATGGAGTTCCTGGGGCCGTCTTGCCAGCAGTTGATCTTCTTTATCTCTCAGTGTAAATGCTAAACGCTGCTTGTCCTAGAGCTCCTGTCCCCTCCATCGGCCCAGCACCCTCCAGATGGCCTTCCCCTGTGGCTCGGTCTGCAGCCTCTCGCAGCGTCGGGGCACCTGGAGGCCGGCTCACTGCTGCCTGGAGTGACGACAGGTGACAATGCATCTGTGCTCTCTCTACTCCTCAAAGCTTCATCTAGTCCCTTGTGGCCCCTTTTCAACTTTTGGCTTTTAAGTGGCATCTGTAATGAACATTCATGATATCTGGCTTCTTCAGTCAATTTGAGAGTCTGGGGAGTAAGGTACTCCATTCTCAGTTGGCACTTAAAACCAGTAATAACCTCTCAGTCCTCACCTTGCACTGCCCTTGGCAAACTTCACTTTCACAACACCTCACAGGCTCATGAAAAACGTTGCCTCACCAAACGTCAAAAGGCAGAGCTAGGTTCCAGGAGACCAGGGGGAGGGTCAGGGTGAGGAGGGGAGTGGGCTCAACTGGGGCGAGGCTGCAGGCTCTCTCTCAGACCACCCACAGCAGGGTGGGGGCAGCCCAGCCACCTGCTTGGACAATTTAAAGACCATTCCTCTTGAGCACAAGAGGCTTTGAAATTTTGCATGTAGTTACCTCTTACAAGAATTCTTCATTACTGACAATGGACATCATACGAAAGGGGACAAATGCTGCACAGGGTGTTACCACACTGTTACTGCATCCAGTTCAGAACTGAAGTGTTTCTTTCTCAACCCATTAAGACCCAAAACTCCTGCAGAATGATCTCAGATAGAAAGAAATACTGCTCTCTCTCCTTTCTGTACATAGCAAGTAGCACGCACACGAGCTGGGGACAGCACACGCTGCCAGCGAGACGCGGGCGCCAGCGGCCCTCTGCTGGCGGGTCTGAAGGCAGACTCCGGCAGGAACTAGACAAACCCAGGGAGCAGCTTTCCCCCACAGGGTTGTGCTGACCGTCCCAGCAGAATCACTTTAAAACAAGTCAGCTATGTTCATAATCTGAAATTAAGCACAAGTAACAAGACTTTGCATATAATTATTAGAACATTTTGAAAACAACCTGAATTAAATGGAATCAAGAAACAAACAAGCCCCGAGAAAAAGTATGGAAATTATGGTTCTTAATATAAACTGGCTCCTACAAATCACTAAAAACAACCCTGGAGCACAGTAAGAACCGCCAGAACAAAAGATGAGAAACTAAAATGACCACAAACACCCGAGAACACACTCAGTATCACCAGACGAGACACTTACACGACCTCCAAGTTGGCAAGGACTCACTTCTCTAGTGCCTGGGCAGCGGGCTGCCAAAGAGGCCTTTCCTTCCACGCAGCAGCACCCAAAGCTCCACGCCTGGCACGACTCAGCCTGCAGGTGCCACGCCCCGGCAGGGCAGGCATTGCCAGCGAGCACGCAAGCCCACGAGGCTCCTTGCAGTGCAGCTGAAACGACCCGACACAGCAAGTGAGGAGGCGCTGCCTCTGGTCCTGGTCCCCCCACGGCAGCTGCTAAAACACGTGGAAAAATGCGTGTCATAAATTAAGATGTCTAATTTCTTAAGTACAAAAGCTGGTTATAAAACTGTATGATTCTAATTCTGTAAAAATTCTTTAAGGAACAAATAAATCCTCAAAAGGATTTACATCAAATACCAATGCCGTTCTTACCAAGAGGGAGGGTCATGGGAGACTTCATTGTCTTCTTTACACTATCATGTGCTTTGTAGATTTTATGCTGTGAGCATAGGCTTTTTTTTTTAATATTCAGAAAAGATGAATGTATAATGTATCCTATTTAGGGTAATTAAAATTTTTTTCACATATTTCAAAATTACAGTCAATAACTTTTATTAACATAATGATATAAAAAACTTCAGTGTGATATACAGAATTCCCAGAGAGTAACTTTAAAACATTTTAATGCTTCGTAAAATCTTAATTTACAAGACACTTTGTCTTACTGCCACAGACTTTTTAATACAAAAATTTTACAATATCTGTTTGCTATAAAACTACAACATTAAGACCAGGGTTGGGTAGTCTCCCCCGCCGGCCATTCTGTTATAAGGAGTGTCCATTAGTCCACTGCTAGAACCTCTGTGTGTCAGACACTAAGTCACACAGATTCTGTACATAATTACAAAAGGACCATTTGAATTCCAGTATGTGGTTACACCCCACACCGCAGGCCAACAAAGCTACTGAGCCTGAGCCACTTGTAGCCAAGTAAGAATCAGACGTGAGAGTCGGCCGGGCAGCCAGACCTTTCTGGTGGAGAATTTAAAGTGGATAGAACGAACAACGGCTTCGTTAAGCACTGACCCAGGCTAATTCCAGAAAGACCTGGTTGCTTCCAGGAAGCGTGCACAATCCACAGACTTTCCTGCCCTCAGTCCCCAAAACTCTACAACACTTCTCGTCAATGATATAAAAATACTCGTAGATTCGAGCTTCACTTCACACTCTAGAAGTACCTAAAGGACTTCACGCTCTCTTCTTTGATTTGAGTTTACTGTAATATTTGATCAATCTGGTCAAATTTGAATGAAACAACTGAATGTGGCTTGGCCACACGTGGGCATGGTAGGGGGCAAGGCTCTCCCGTGGCCCCTTGGACACACCATGGGGCCCTCAGCAGACAGCACGGAGGACGGGCACCTCCCTGCACTGGTGACTGGGAATAAAAATAACTCGGCACACTTCTGTGCAGTGAGAGGAGCTCATTCCATGGTTGTGGAAACACGCACTTCAACTGAGCAGCACGAAGCTGGAAACTCAGAAAGTGGTTTGAACCTGAATGTGGCCTACCTTCCCAACACAGAGCAGCTAAACTGACGGCCCCAAAATGCCACTGCCAAGGATAAACAGCCACACCTGTGGACGGCCGGGCACACCTGTTCCAAGGGAGGCAGCGTGTGTGAGTCCAGTGTCCGGACTGGGGCACAAGAGTGAGAAGGGCAGCCAGGACTTGGTCCCGGTCCACCGGCCTTTCTGGGCTCTGTGCCTCCCTGTGGAATGGAACTGAAGCAGCTCAGGCCTCAAGTTCTTTCTAGCAGAAATGCTATATATGAACTTGTCATTTGAAGTGGGAATAAATAATTGAATTTTTAAAATCAAAAACTGTATTTTTAGCCTAAAAAAAAGTGCAAACTGGCAATACAGCAGAGAACCACGCCTGCAGCTCCCGCAGCGCCCATGCCAGGCCCCTTCCCTGGCCCCGTCTGCTCCAACACAGACACCCATTTCTGTAAACGTGCTTGATGATTAAACTATTTCTTCGAATAATTCAGGAAGTGGTTTCTAAAATGAGATGGATCTGTAAGCAGGGAGGAAGGGGCACAGGGCTCCCTGGGGCCTGGAGTCCCTTTCCCAGTGACCGCAGACACTGCCGATTCCACGCATCCCAGCCCTGTGACTAGTCCCAACCCCTGCCCCAGGGCCAGGAGGGGAGCTGCAGTCACATGTTGTAGGCCACATAGATGGGGTCCAGCTGGTCAGCCAGGAAGCCGTCCCGCAGGTGCATGCGCTGCTTCTCCCCCCGGGAGTTGATGGGGACGACGCCTGGGTCCACGATGACCACCACGCCCACCACCAGGTGGTGCTCCTCCAGCACCACGTTGGTCACCAGGGCCACCAAGTCCAGGGCGTCCTGCTCCAGCCCGTCCAGCTCCACCACCACCACCAGTAGGTTGGTCCAGGTGAACACAGCACTGCAGGGAGAAGGTGGATGGTGTCACCCACAGGGCTGGACACAGGCTCCAGGCCAGGGACACGCGGGAAACGGTGTCAGCTGGAGACTAGTGAAAACTCCAGAGTCTGCTCCCGATGCCACCCTCCTGTTCAACATCATTTACAATTCACACGTGTCTTACAGGAATATCTCTTCTAGTAAGTTCTCGCTAAAGATCTAGGGTATTATTTGATTTTGAAAGCTGGACCTTTCCCTATGCAAGTTCCCCACAAAGCTGGAGAAATCATGGGTAAATTAGGAAATTCATGCTAAAAGCAGAATTGCTTTGGGGTAACTGGAGCTCTTAGGTTTTGCCTGTGTTTCTGAGGACAGACTCCTGGTTTAAAAGTGATCAGGAAAAGAGGAAAAGCCAAGGAAACCCAAACCATGTGTCTCCGGCACGTGATTCCCAGAGCGTGTCTGGGGTCTGCTCCTGGAGAGGCAGGGCTGCTCACACATCCACAGTGGAGGGTCTGTGGGGACCGAGGTCCCCAGGGCTCCCCAGGAGGGTGCTCACCACTCGGCGATGCTCCTGTGTGCACGGATCACCGAGGTCTCAATGTCGATGGGGTGGTAGCGCATGCCTCTTAGCTCTAGCGTCTCGTCCAGAGACCCGACCACATAGAGAGCGTCGTGTCGCTCTGTGGATGGCACACAGTGGGAGCCGGGAGCTGGTGCACAGACACTGTTGACCACTGAGCCCCGCCATGCGGCCCCACCAAGCTGTCCACCCCCAGAAGCAGAGGTTATGCCGACGCGTGATTATGTATTTCACCACGTCTGGAAACAAAACAGCACCTGCAGGGGCTCCTAAAGCTCTGCCTGATCTGGTTGGTCTGCTGTGGCCAAGTGACTTCACGATTTTGGGGGGACATGGGGGGAGAGCACCACACATGGCTGGTGAGATGTGCCCATGGGTCCGCCCATGGGAGGACCCAACAGCCTTCTGCCAGCACCCCAATCCTCAGCAGGCTGGGATCCAGGAGCGGTTAAGGGAGGAAGAATAATTTTCAGAGAGGACCACATCAGAGCACCTGAAGAGCAAGCTCTAGCGAGAGGCTCACCGTGCCCAGGAGCCCTCACCTCCGCTGGCATCGGTGAGCTCCGTCCTTCGAAGGAAACCCAGGAAGCCAGTCCTCGCCCATACGGTCTGGGTGTCTCCGAAGCTCAGCCGGGCACTGAAGTGGTCGGCGTGCAGCCCCTCCTCCCCGTAGACCGTGTAGTACCCGGTGGCGTTATGGGGGCTGCTCACCCAGATCTGGGGCCCAGAGGACAAGACTGCTGGTCACTGCAAGTGCTGGGCTCTGTCCTGAGGCCCAGCAGCAACACAACAGGACACGGCAGGGGAGGGGTCTGGAGCTAAGTTACATTTACAGGCGTGGGAAGCAGACAAGTAACTTCTCCTCCAAGGAAAGCATTCCTCTCCTCGGACCCCGGAGAGACATTTGTAGGACCGCAGCGTGAATGGGCTCACATCAGACTACTGACAGTAGGAAGGACCTGGGAGTGACCTGTATGTCCACATGGGGCTAGCGAGAGTGAGGGCTGAGAGACCCCACACATGTGTCCCTGAAACCAGAGTGTCGTGGGCCCCCGGGGCGTCCTCCTAAACTCAGGGCCCATCTGGGACCCACAGGCAGTTCCCCATGCTGAGTGCTGGGCTCAAGACAGCTCCAAAAAGCAGCTTTGGAAGAGGAGACGGGGCGGCCAGCATGGCCTTCCACCACGAGGAGCAGGCCCTGGCCTGTGTACCCACCCTGACCATCCTGGGGCCACACAGCTGCCCTAACAGGCCTGGGTCCAGCTGGCTGGGAAAGGGTGGTGAGGAGATGCCCCACACTGACCGCACCTGGCCCTGGGGCTGGGGCACCCCCCCAGCGGACGCTGCACCATCCCTGGGAGGCCCCAGGCTTGCCCACACCCTTGTACGGGCTAGACGGAGCCTGGGCAGCGTCCGTGTGGACGCCCTGAGTACGCCTGCAGCAGAGCCCACATGATCCCTGAGCCCACCTGGTGCCAGAGCACGGGTTCCCGGGGCCCACAGCTGAGGCCACGGCCTGCGCTCCACTCCCTGGTCCCCCGTCCTAAATTACTCTGGACGCGCCTGCTAAATGCAGGTGGTCAGCACCATGACTCCAGCGCAGCCTGTCTCCTAGGGGACAAGGATCCCTGCCCCATGTCCTCAGGACAAAGAGGCCCCTCCCTCTCTCTCAGCCTCCGAGTCTGCCCCGGGCCAGCCCCCTCGGGCTGCGGCTCCTGGGTCAGGGCCAGAACTGCCCTTTGAGGGACGGCTGCTTCCTCCTCTGCTGCGGGTTCTGTGCGGCTCCTGGGGCCTCCTGGTGCCTGCAGCTCAGGTTGGGCAACAGGGTCGGGAGCTCATCTGCGGGGAGAACCCTGAAATCCTGCCCAGGGACTGGGTCCAGGAGCACAAACGCTGAGGGATAAGCAGACAGCTTCTCATAGGTCCCTCAAAGCGTGTGCGACCCCCGAAACTGGGGCAGCAAGGAGGCAGGGTCAGGAGCAGCTCCTGGGGCACATGGGGCTCCCGCTCACCTCTCCCAGGTGTGAGTCTCCAAGGGGCCCTCTGGTCTCGGTGTGGGCAATGATGACCTTCACCCCAGGGAGGATCTGGAAGGAGACCGGCTCCACGTCAAGGGCAGCAGACCCTCCTGATTCAAATGCGTGAGAAACCCTGCCCTTGGAAGCTGCTCCACAAGACACAACATGACGCATGCATGAGGAGGTCCAGTAGCTAACCTAACCCTGGGCTGGGTTTTAACAGAGGTGAGAGATTTCACCAGATAAAAATAAATTGTGAATTTTAGTAAAATCACCCAGTTTCTAAGAATGGACCCTGCTAGGTGCCGAGAGGGGAGGAGGGTCTCCACAAGCACGTGCTCTTCCTGGGCCTTCCGCTGAGGCCCCTGGCCAGGGCTCAGGAGTGCAGGGGCGTCCATGCACACGGCCCCCCGAGCCTCCCAGCTCTGGACAGGAGCCTGACCACCAAGAGGCCTTCCTGCTCTAGATGCAGAGCTGGGCTGCTGCTGAGCACAGGCTCCCTGCCCCACCCAGGAGAGGCTGCCTCGGGTCCAGGACCCCCACTGGGCTGCTCCCGACCTGGACACCTGTCTGTGTCCTCAGTTTCCCCACATGTAAAACAGGAGACGACGGGACCCTCCAGGTAGGTGGAGGACAGGAGGAAGAGCCATGGGAGGCCAGTGCAGGTCAGAGCCAGGCCCTCCTCTCCCACACTGTCCCCATGCCCTTGCCCGATGCTGTTCCCTTGGATGCTGCCGGAGCCTCCAGCCTCTCCCTGTGTGGCTCCAATCCTGAAGCTGGAGCCCCTTCCAGGACCCACACCTGTCAGGCCTGAGTTACTGTAACACAGAAACACGGTGGGGGCCATCAAAAAGGGGTTCAGAGCCATAAGTGCGCTGATGCTGACAGTACAGGGAAACATTCCACGTTTGCAAAAAGGGCTGCAAACTGCATGTGGGCGTCTCCATGCTCAGGGAGGACAGGAGTGGGTGGCTGGCCTCCCCTGCACACCTCTCTGTGGGTCTGTGCCCTCCTGCCCACAGCCTTCACTCCCCATCAGCCCCAGCCACACTGGCCCCTGTGGCCCCAGGGCCTTTGCACCAGCTGAGACTTCTCCCCGATCTCTGCTCCTCTGTGCTCACCCCCAGCACTCACCACAGGCTTGTCGTGAGCTGCCCCTGTTGCCCTGTCCCTCTCTGGGCACCTCCCTGCTCCGGATTGTCAGCTGTGGCCACAGGAGCGTGAGTAGAGTGGGCATGGCCACCCCGGCCTTGGCTCCGGAGCTGTGGGAGGCCACAAGCTGGGGCCATGCGCGTCCAGCCTCACAGCCCCGCCCTCTGTGAACTGGCTCCCCTCAGGCCCCCTCATCGCACTGCCTGATGGGTCTGACCGCCATCCTCCCTTCCTGGCTCTGAGGACGCCTATTCTCCGGCGGCTCATTTTCCCCTGGTGACCACTTCCTGGCTGCCACCTGGACCAGGGGCTGAGTTCTTCCTGGCCCCGCTGGGTCTGTGCACCTGTAGTCCTCCCCGCCAGGCCTGGAGCGTGGGGTGGGGGGCCTCTGCGTCAGCCCAGCCCAGACCCCGGGCGCCTGCTGCTCATCGCGGGCGCCTGCTGCTCATCGCGGGCGCCTGCGCTCATCTCGAGCACCTCCCAGGGACCACATAAGACAGAAAGAACTCAAAACACATACGGAGGCAAGTCCCCTCATACCTTTCCAGACTCTGTCAATGGCAGACTATGCGGAGAACCTCGTTCCACCAAACGTACCCTAAAAATTAACAGGGGAAAGATTTCAGAATCAAATTTATTGTCCAGGCAACAATCTCCGAAAAGGCACCTCATCAGCTGATCAGGAATTATCACATGACGGCAGGTCTGTTGACAACAGCCAAGTGACCACAGCCTTGCTGTGGCTTTGGAACAGTGACTTCAGGTGCCGGCAGGAGCTGGCTTCACGTTTCCTCGGCCCTCGCCCTGGGCCCTCTCTCCTCGCCCCCATGAATCTCCGCCACCGCTTCCCTCGAGCTGCAGCACGGCCACGTTTGGGGGCCGGGAACCGGTTCCCAGCCCTGAAGCTGGGAAGACACAGGCCCCCAGGCCACATTTCTGATGGAAAGCCCACGTCCTGCCTCCAGACAGGAGTGTGTCAACAAGCCCCGTAGTGGGCTCACCTGTCCTCCACCCCAGAAAAAGCCAAATGCCAAACGCTGGGTCACTGTGAGAGCCCCTGGTTGTGAGGGTGCCGATGAAGAACACGGGGAGAGGGAGGCTCTCCACCAGCTGGGCATTACCTGTCGTGGCGCAGTGCCCTCATGTCCACGTAGACGGTCGTGGGGTCGGGACCGGCCGTGCCCTGCAGGGGAGCAGCAGAGGAACGTCCACGTGGGGCCGCTCTCGCCCGTATCTGGAGCACCTGCATCCACGTGGGCACGGCCCAGGGAGGGGGTCTGCCCTCCGTCCAAACATCAACAGGGGATGAGTGGGAGGGAGACCCCAGTAACACTGAACAAAGGTGTCCAGTTGTACAAGGTCACATGTCAGTCCCAACAGCGCCCTTTCCCACCGGCTGCTAGGAAAACACCACTCGGGTCTGGGCGCTCCCACCGAGCTGGGCTCTCTCCAGCCTAATCCTACCCAGGGCGGGCCCTGTAGGACCTGCTGGCACTGGCTGGAGCGATGTCCTCACTCTCTCCTCTCACCTGATGCTGATCCTGATTAAAGGACATTATGTTCCTTTTCCTTAGATAAGGGACAGTAAATTAAATGGTCACTCTGCCCAACAGCATTTCTGAAGGTCCCAGACAATGTAACCTATGTCTGCCCTGGAGTTAAAACAAACATTTCTTCGCTGAGACTAAACACAGCCCTTCCTAGAGGCAACGTTATGGATGTCAAATGCTTCTGAAAATAGTTTTGCTCTTAAATTTGGTTACAAAGAAGCTTTTGTAACCTGTCAAATAATACCCACTGTGCGCAAAGCCAGACAGCAAAAGAAACACATTAATTTGGAGAGCCCATGAACTCTCGGGAAGCCCAGAGGCCCCTCGAGGTCAAGGTCAAGGTCAAGTCGTACCTGCTCAGCCAGCTTTCCCAGCCTGTTGGGCTGACAGAGACAAAGGAGGCCAGCGAGAACGAGAGCGAGCGAGACAGGGAGGAGCCACGGGAAACACAAACAGAGCAACAGGACGTGAGAACACGGCTAAGAGAGAGCAAAGTGCGTCACTGCATCTTGAAACGCAAACGAGAACGTCCCAGTGACACTCGTGCCGTGGGCGCCGCCTCCCACGTGCTGACAAGCAGCAGAGACGCCTGTGAGCTTCCAGGAAGGAGGGCACAGGCTTTTAGGTGCTGAGCGGACAGGCAGGTCTGCACTCACAGCCACTCACCACACGTCAACAGTCAAGACTCAGTCACACTTTCCACGCCAGGAGGGACCTTAGAGAGAACCACCCCACCACCTCCCACCACTCAGCAAGGGTCAGCCGTATCCACGGTGGAGAGGACATCGCTGGAACACCAGGAAACAGCAGGTGCTGGCGCAGGACAGGGGCTTGGGGACGACAGAGAGCGCCCAGGCCTGCTCTGGTTCCTGCCCTGGTCCCCTTTCCTCCCAACGACCTCCGGCACGTGCGCCAGGAGTTCAACTTGTCTTAGAAAGAAGTGGGACTGAGACACTGGCATGAAGGCCGGAGGACAGCTGGTCACCTGAAGAAGCGGTAACTAGCACTGCACCGTAGTTAGCTGTTTGGTTTCTGACACCATGTTTCCTTTTAATAAGTAAAACACCTAATGTTTCAAAAACAAACTTGGGGCAATACAAATGATCACACTACTTACAGCGTTTCCATTTAGAATTGCTAAATGTCTTGAAACAGTAAGTTCACTCTTGCATTAGAAAATCACTGTGTACTGTATCCAACTTAGAAATTCTTCCAGGTAAGACAACAGTTACTGTTCAAAAGCAGTTTGTGCTTTTTTCCAAACAAGCCTTTATTTCTCAAGGAGGAAAGACTCTGTAAAACACTCAGCTCTGGAGGCTAAACTGCCATTTGGAAAACACAACATCACAGGCTCGGAGGACAGAAAAGCCTGGCACGCGGACACCCCGGGCCCCGCCCTACCTGGAGGCAGATGGCCACGTTGACCCTGCAGCCGAATGTGGTGCTCACGGCGCGAGCAGGCAGGCCCAGGTCCCTGAACAGCTTGGAGAAGGACTGCGTGAGCGCGATCCGAGGCCGCTCCTCGGCCACCACCATGCAGGTACGCACACAGGACAGGTCCACACCCTTCGTCTGCGGGAGGAATGGCCTTAGGAACTGAGGGGCCCGACTGTATGCATGCCACCGGGCTCTGAGCACCAAAGCAGAGCCACACCAACCCGCTGCCTCCAGGCCACAAAATTCCAAGTAGGAAGCACCAGGGGGCACCCCAGCTCTGCACCCACACCTGCCTTCTGCGCTGCCACTGACCCCACCCCCTTGCCCCCTCCCTCTCAGCCCTGAAACCTCAGAGACCCCATCATGCGCAGGGGGCGGAGAGGGGGCGCACAGCACGGGGTAGGTTTCCGTTCCAGCCCGTGGCTGGAGGGCCCGGGTCTCCTCCGGTGCTTACCCTGAGCACAGCTGTTTGCGCGCCCAGGCCCCGGGCGCACATCTCCATCACGGAGTAGGAGCAGAAAGTGACGCGGGCCCTGTACTGGCTGACGGCCCACAGCCACAGGGACACGTTGCTCTCCAGCTCTGGCGGGGGCACCAGCACCGACTGGTGTCCTGAGTAGACGCTGCAGCCACAACAGAGGTGGGTCAGCAGGGCCCAGGGTAGAGGGTGGAGCCATGCTGCCCTGACCAAGTGGGGCTTCAGCGGGAAACACGGGGGTGGGGGCAGGGAGGGGGCCAGGCCCCCGAACAGCACTCATGGATGCCAGGCGGGCCTGCTGGCCTGCTGGCCAGGACTGGGCTCTCCGTGTGAGGCTCTGTCCCTCCTTCCCTGGACTGCATGGATTTAAACTGTCTCGGCCCAAGTACTAGTAACAGAGAGGGCGTGAATTTAACGAGAAATTTCCTTTTTCTTTTCTATTCAGTTTCAGATCCAGGCTTCAACCCACCCCACACCCAAACCAACCAACCCAACTCACACGTGTATCTTCCACTTCCTGGGAAACAGAACCATACCTGAGAAAGGTGGGGGTCTAGAGAAGCAATTCAGCCCCCCAGGTGCACGCAGCAGTGGGGGGTGAGGGAAGGTGTGGGGGGTGTTACCTGCTCACTCTCCCTCCACACTCACCTGCACAGACACCACAGGGCGAAGCCGAGGCCGCAGTAGGGGTCCAGGCAGATGGCGATTTGCCTGGAGGGGTACAGCTCACACTGCAGCTTTATGGAGCGGCACAAGGCGCTGGTGGCTGCGTGCGACATCTAGAGCGAAATGCAGGCAGTGCTCAGTGATGTGGAAGGAGGGCTAACAGCAGAGCCTGCTCTCCCAGCCGCCAGGCCAGAAGTGTTCTCTTCCTGAAAGGGTGGCTGGCTCAAATCCCACATAAACCAAAGAGACCCAGGAAACAGCGCACCAAAAGTCTTCTAAGTGAAACTCCAGGAAAATAAAGAATTGTAATGGGGCTTTTGGTTCCCAGGAAGGAGAGCCACCAAAGCCACCTGGCTGTCGAGACCAAATGCTCACACATCAGATCATGAAATACCAAAACGCACGCTGCTCTCAGGCCAGCCCAATTTAGGGTTCATTGGTATTTCACACAAACTGTAAGGAACAGTACTGCTGCTTCAAGCTCTGGGCAGGACGAGAGGCCTGCGTAGACCTGCCCCAGCACCCTTCTCCCACCCCTGGGTCAGGGCTGAGCAGACAGGAGCTGTGACCAGAGCGCCCACCTTCACACCCGCCAGGATCCCCGTCGTTGACACGCTGAAGTCCAAGTACGCGAGCACGTCTGGGGACGGGGGCCTGAAAATGCTGGCCACCTTCTTTTTGGGTATGTCATCTGTCGAGCAGGAGACACGGGCGACATGGCTGTTACTCAGGCTCTCGCAGGACACATGAGGCAGGACTCGGACCTGGGGCCTGGGGAGCTCAGAGCAGCAGTTGGGCTGCACACGCACGTGGGGAAGCTTATTCGCTCCATCGGGGAATGTCACATGGAGTGGACCCTCACCGAGCGCACTGAGCGTGTGATGACAGGGACAGTGGGCGAGTGGGGAGGACACAGGCCGTGAGAACTGCGTGGGAAAGCTCAGCGGAGCAGGCACCTGGCAAAGGTCACAGAGCCTGTGACGAAGCCAGGATTAACGACTCGGGCACAGCAAGCGCCGTGGACGGGCTCCCAGGGCTCCTGTGCTTCACCAAGTTCCTGCAGGAGCACGAGGTGGACCGAGTACAGGTGGGCATGCGGCAGGGAGCCAGTGAGGCGACAGACTCCCTTGAGCCATCTGCTCCTGAGCCCACCCCAGGGCCCCACGCCAGCTGCCCTGGACTAGCGCCCTGGGCTGGTCAATGGTATCAGGCAGGCGGGCACAGTGCCTGACCTCCTCCATGGGCGGTGCTCTGGTTGACAAGGACAGGCACCCACACCCGCCAGTCTGCACCCCGGCTGACACCCATGTGACTGTGCACCTCCAGTTACCAGGGGGCCTACGGGGGCTGCTGGTTTGGGGTGTCTTGATGGGGAGGGGTTGAGACGCTCTCAGCCCCCCGGCTGACCCGACAGGCCAAGGCAGAGGGGCCGGGGCTTTACAGCCGTTCCCACGACCTGCAAGCATTTCCTAGGGTGTGGCAGCGCGGGCCAGTGATGGGGACAAAGGCCAGGCGTGCGCGCCGTGGGAACCATCAGTGTCCCCACAACTATCCACACACGCGGGCGTGAGAGGCAGGAGGAACTCGGCCCACAGGTGCAAAGGCCTTGGGCAAGGACCTCCGCTCCCCTCCCCACTCTCTGCTCTGTGTGCCTGGCTCTAGGCTCCAGCTGGTGGACACAGGCTGCTAGGAACCTGCTGGCGAGGCTCCCCACCATGTGCTGGGGCTGCTCTTCCCTGACTCTTATTTGTGGGCAGTAACAATGCAGTCCCCACAACAAAGGAAGCAAGGGGGTTCGTCCTGGGCAGGGGGCGGGCAGCGCACACACCAGCACACCAAGGACGCACACCTGTGTCTAAAATGGTCGGCCAGGTCCTGACATCCACAGCGGCTGCTGCCTCTTTGGACCTGAGCAGCCGCACGATGGGCTGCGTAGTGAGGACGCACGCAGACTTGCTGACCTGCAGACCACAGGGTTGAAGCACGAGTGAGACACAGCGTCCAGGAGCCAAGTACTCGAGGGCCCAGGCCCAGGCCACCCCGCCAGCTGCTGTGCTCGCCCACCTCCACGATCATCTTGACGGTGGGGAGCGTGGTGGCCAGGTTCTGGGGGTGTGGGGGCCGCACGGTGACAGGCACACAGCCACAGTACAGGCAGCCGTAGAAGGCGGCGATGAGGTCCAGCCCTGGGAGACACGTGGTCAGAGGGCATCAGTGGTCAAAGGCGGCCACAGCTCGACAAGGACGAGGGAAGCGGATCCGCTTTGCTTGGATGAAACCACCCGCTTTATACCGACTGGGTGTTCATGGAACACAGCACATTAGGGATGGACAGACAGCAGGCCTCACTGCAGGTCGCCCCTGCCCAGACCCTGGGAGGCCAGGGAGGGCGGTGCGCAGCCAAGGCACAGATGTCACGGATGTGGGAGGCCTGGCCCCGTGGACAGCGCCCTCTGCCCGCCATCTCTGTGTGACAGAGTGGGCGGCAGGGCAGGCAAGGACAGCAGGGTTCCTCTGAGGGTGAGCTGCCTGCCCCAGAGGTCCCACAGCTCCTTGCAGGCACCTGTGCCCGAATGTGGGGGCCTGGACCTTCTCCTGGGGAGGCCCACACCCCTGGGGGTGGGCCAGGACATCCACTTCACTCTTAACGACATGACACATTGTTCCTTCAACTTTTCTACTTGTTTAAAATTCTCTATAATTAAAACCTGGGGACGCTGCATCTTGAAATCTATTTTCTCCTCTTGAACTCAGTCTGACTTGAGAACACCTGTGCCCCCACACCCAGGAGGCCCCTCCAGATGCTCCCCTCAAGTCAGACAGGGCCCTGTCTGGCATCCTCAGGCTACAAGACACCAAACTCAGGCTGTTGATTCCAGAGTTACAGTAAACATGCCACGTTTAACCCAGCTGTGGGTTTCACCAGGCTACAAGCTGATGCCCCACCAGGTCCGGGGCAGCTCAGTGTGTTACTGACGGAGCCTGAGCCCACCCACCCAGACCACCGCCTACACTGCGTCCTCACACCCAGCACGACCACTCAGCCCCCGCACCACGAACATCACCCCGGAAAACCCCGATGAACACAAGAAAGCATCATCCGGGGGTCACTTCCTGGAGCCCACACAGCTCACCTGCCCTCGTGTGCACCTTCCTCTTGTCCTGGCGTCATCCGCGAGCACCTGGAGCGCCCACCCCACCTGCACCCCACCTTTCTGCAGCTTCCAGAGAACACTGGTTCTTAATACCTTGGGTCACACACCCGTCTGGGAAAGGGTCTTAGCTCTCCCCAGGAAGTGCACAGCAGGCCCCGTGTGCGCCCGCAGAGCGTCTGCACCCCTCAGCCTTCACGCAGGGCCCGGCTCTGCCCTCTGGCTACTAAGTACATTTGCTACCTGCTGGTAAGCTTTTAAAGTGTAACTTCAGAACTTTCACCATGCATTTTCCTTTATTCACTAAAATTTTTTTATGAACAGGGTCAAATGTACTGCAGAGCAGAGCAGGGCTCAGGCCCCGGTCTGTCTTTTCTTCTCCCTTCCTGTGACTGCAGCCCCAGCCCTGAGCCCCAAAAAGCCTCCCGTCCTCAGGGGCGCTCAGCCTCCTCCCCCGGAGCCCAAGGGCAGGTAAAGAGTAGGGACGGCCACCGTTCCTGGAGGAAAACGGCCACATGTTCCAAGAGTGGAAGGTGCAGAAGTAGCTATGATGCCAGCAGCGGTTCTGGAGTGTCCACGTCACCCCATGTCCAGGTCAGGAACCAAGCCAGGCTGCCGCCTCGCCCTGGCTCCTGGGCAGGGAGCATGTGGCTGGGTGGTCACCAGATGTCCACGCTCCATGGCAGCCCCCTGGGGAGTGGCCCCCCAGCTCCCTCAGTAGCAAAAGTCCCAGCACAAAGTGCTGGGGCCTGTGGGTGTCCAGCGGACATGAGGAAGAGATGGGACGCTGGGGCCTGGGCACACGGGGCAGCACAGTGGACGCCAAGGGAAACCACGTGTAGGAGATCCAAGATTCACCTACACAGAAGCCAGGAGTTCCAGAAGCAGGAAAAGAAGAGGCAGTAACGAAAAAGAACATTTTCCTGAGATGAAGATTAAACGGGCAAGGAAGTGGGAAGGTCCCAGGCTCGAGCATATCCCAGAGAGGTTCCTGGAGAAGAACAAGCTGATAAAGAGGAGGAAGTGACACCTTATCACCTCCAACCCTGGAAGGGCACCAACTTGGCCCAGAGAGACCCGCAGAAACCAGGGGCTCCTGGTCCAGCTAGGGCACAGCAAGGAGAAACGTATCCCGAGTGTGTGGCACCCAGGTGCCAGATCTGGGAGAAACCCACCCCGAACAGCCAAGAGCAGACTCCCAGAACGAGACCCCATGACCGGGCAGGAGAGAATGGAGCGGGCCGTGGGAGGGAGCTGGGGGTGAGGACAGCGTCGGGGCTGCACTGGGGGAAGAGCGAGGGAGGTTCCCGAGAACCCGCATGGGGCAGGGAGGGCACTGGAAGGCCTGGAATCCCCAGGGAGGCTCAATTGTTCCCACCTGGGGGGACACCAGCATCCTGTTCTCAAAACTGTAGTTCTGGTCAGAGAGCAGGGAGAGGAGACCACTCAAGTACTCACTGGTGACAGCTAACATCTGGGAAGGTTTGGGACCAGCAACCCAGTCCAACAAAGCAGGGCCCAGGGAGTGGGGCACGGGGCAGAGTTGGGGAGGGAGGCCCAGAGACGGCGGCCCAGGGGCCACCACGTGAAGCTAAGTCCCTCACAAGGTGTGAAGAAGAAACAGGAGCAGAACATCACCTGCCCATACAGGCAAAGGCAGCAGCTGAAAACTGGGGCTGGTCTTCAACTTCAAAATGTGCGAAAATACATGAAAAGAAAATGATACAAGACGTAAAAGAATAACAAATGAGAAGCAGAAAGTCAGAAATGAAGACAGACCTAGCAGGGGCCCCAGAGCAGACAACGGACACAACCTCAGGATGACGAACGGACGAAAGGATGGACAGAGAAGGCCGAAAACTCCAACAGAAACGCTTCCAGAGAACGTGTCAGAGCAGATCCAATGCGAGGCGAGGACGCGAGGGAAACCAGGAGGGGGCACACGGGAACCGTGGCTCCAGAGAGCCCCCTTCAGGTCAGAAAGAAGACCTGCAACTACACGTTTAAAGGCACCTCACACATGGGAACGCTGACCCAGAGCAAGCAAGCTCACTACTAGGTATGCGCTGTAAGGAAAGTAAAGATACCCTTTTGATACCAAGGCCAAGTGACCCCTATGAGAACGGACATCAGGGTCTCATCGGCCTTGGTGCTTGAAGCCAGGAGAAAATGGACACATGTTAGAGATGCCTGAGAAAAGAAAATGCAAGTCAACGGTTTCCCATCCAGCAAAAACGACTTCCAATTACAGAGTGTACAGACTGCCATCAACAAGCAAGAACTTGGGATACTGTTCCCTTGAGCCCTTCCTGAGAAGTAGACTATGGAAAACCAGCGCACCAGGAAGACGCAGGAGTGGGCACTGGGCCCAGCTGCAGGGAAAAGGGGCAGAGGCGGCGGGTGCGGGAAAATGTGAGCGGTTTCAAAAAGCACACTGGTGGTCGCCTGTCACTACCAGTACTTGGCGGTGCCACTGGTGATGGAGGATAAAGCAAGTGAGCAACCATGGGGTACCTGAGCTCCATCATCTCCCCCGCCCTGGAGAACCAGGATTCCTGGTGGGGGAAAGGAGACACAGACACAATGTAGAAAGGGTCCAGTAAAAAACCCTGTAACCCTGAACTGAACGGGACACACAGTGTGAACGCAGGAGGTGCTGCCTGAGACAGACAAGGACGCCTGCTATAATGCCGAGCTCTGCTCACTGGGAGGGGACAGACAGCAGCTCACCTGGAAGCCCGTTCTGGGGGCCGTTCTGGGGGGAACTGGCCAGAGCATCTGGGCTACCAGGCAACCAGGAGGCGTCAGGATGAGAGGTCACACTGAGCACCTGGGAGCAGCACCCCCAGAATGATGGGAAACAATTCGTGTCACTACCAGAAGGAAAGACCTGACACTTACTCCGCTGTTCAGAGGTGAACCCTAGCCCTGGTGGCTTGGCACCACCGAGGGGAGGACCGGTGAGTAAAGAGAATGACAGAATTATAAGGCCACCACTTTGTGGCCCTCCCGAACTAGTGGGGGTGGGACGCTGGGCACCAATGTCTGCTAGTAAGCTGATTCCACAGGATGAGAGACCCGACCTACGGTTTCTGAGGAGACAGCTCTATACCGCCTGGGGTCTTGGCGAGGCCCATGGAGCTGGCAGGGGCCCAGGGTCTCGGCCCACTGAGCAGCTCCAGACCGGAGGACGCCACAGGGCCCAGGAGAGGGCAAGAGGGCAGCCCGCAGATTCAGAGACGTAACAACATGTCAGATGGAAAGAAAACCGGCAGATGGAGCCATGATGTCCAGGGTGCTCAGCCAGGTGAGCAAACTGGGGAGAAGCGGTGACCCCGGGAGGCAGGACAGAGGATGAAGTGGGGATAATGAGGAGGTGCTGGGATGGGCAGGTGAAGACCCACTTCTTCAGCTGGCTGGCAGTTAGAGGTTAGAGGCATCTGCTCTGCAGGGAGAGACGGTGGGGAGGACGGGGAGAACAGCCGTGTGGAAAAGGCAGGAGGAAGGTGCAGCCGGTGGCACTAAGACCTGGGTGGGGGTGGGGGGCACCCGCACAACCAGACTGTCCCTGCTCACGGGCTGCAGGTGCTGGGGGAAGATGAAACAGCTTCAGGCTCAGAGGCGGCAGGCTGGGCCTGGCGGCTCCACCTGCTTACCTGGGGGGTAGACCAGTGCCACGTGGGCCCCGGCGCTCAGCTGAGCCTTCTCCGTCAGGGCAGCAGCCACTCTCTCGGCCTTTTTGTGCAGCTGGATGCAGGTCGCGGTGCTGGTGACAGTGCCCTGGGAAAGCAACCAAGGGCACCACTGAGCTGGGGGCCAAGGGCGCCTGCTCAGGGGATCTGGGGTCACTTGTGCACACCACGTCCCACCCTTGGCTGGGAGTTGGGACGCGGCCCTGACACACCCGCCGCCTTCTCCAGCCCCTGCATCTCAGGTAGGGCCCTGGCAGGGGCTCTTGCGCCAGCAGTGAAGGGCCTGGCCACTGAGCATCTCCTCAGAGCCTGCTTGTCCACGACAGTCAGGCTCAGAGATGAAAGTAAACTCTTTTGGCCTTTTTGAGAAAATATTTAAAATATTATAATATCATAAGGAATAATCGAATAAATATCCAGTTTCTCATTACCTAATATTTTAACACTGTTTCAACTTCTTTCGTAAAATACATCACCACTCTACACACACCCCTAGTCCACCCTCTCCCTCCCCAGAAGCAACCATTATCCTGAAAAGAAACACACATCAGTAAATAATAGTAAACAAACACTTCATGCACGTGTAGGTGCCACACCAACCAGGTTCGTGGCCTGTGTCACCTGCAGCCTGCTCTTTCTGGGCGTCTGGGGGACGAGTGGCTGGTGGGGTGGCCCCGCACCTGAGGGTTCAGCATTCACCGGGGTCTCTGCTGAGGACCTCCGGGCCAGGACCAGCCCCATGCTAATGACCCCCTCCTGCCACTGACCCAAGTCAGGCCTCGGCTCTGTCAGTCCTTCTTAGGAAAACCATCAACACCCTTCAGGCCCAGGGTAGCATCCAAACCCCTCACTTCTCCTCAGCTTGGGGTCCCACCGCACAGGCCCTGGGGTCCTGCACTGTGAGTTAGACCCGCTCCTCACACCCAAGCTGAGGTGCAGAGCGTCACGCTGGGCACACCCCAGGAGCCCAAAGGCCCAGAACCCCGCCAGGCCCCTCGGATGACCTGGATCCCTCAGGCCAGGGGCCACCTCGTGCTGGGGCACCACATGCACAGGCACAGGCCTTCTCCTGGGTCAAAGGTCAGCACATCTTCGGGGACTTACGGACAATTCAAACCTGAGAAGGTTGGCAAACCAAAAGAAATGCAAAAACTTATGAGTGACTTTAAGCCAAGTCTGGGATGGATTTTGAGAAGGCCAGATGGTCTTCTCTTGGCTCCTCCTGAACTTTCGAAGCTCAAGACGGTCTTGGGCTTTTCTGGGCTGACCGCATGCCTGGTAAGCATGCCTGTACAACTCCCCCTGGGCAGCTTCCCACCCCAGGAAAGCGCCCCGCTGCACAGGCGCTCAGCCAACAGCCCAGAGCCAGTCTCGGGCCCTTGCAGGACCCATGCCCTCCGTCTCTCCGAACAGCCACCTGGTGTCTGGACACAGCCTCCGGGGCCCTCCTGCTTCCACACTCACCCTCATAATCCAGAGGAATTGCTCCGAATCACAAGCTGCCTGTCGCTCCTCAGGGCTCAGGTCTGGGGCTTCCCACCACCCACTAGTTAAAGTCCAGTGCCCCGGCCCCGCCTGCTCCCGGCCCTTCTGTATGGATCTCCAGGCCTCGTCATGAGCTGACTCTGTCTTGGTCAGCTGTTATTTACTGGCTTTCTCCACGTTTTAGAACTCAAACAATCGTAAAACAAATGTTTACTGAGCATGGTCTCCATCTGCAGATCCACTGTGAACAAGGAAGATCAGGCCTCTCTTGTGGACTAGTTTGCCAGCAGGGAAGACTCACTTCAGTGCCCTGAGAACAGGGGCCTTTCTTATCTTACTTAACACTAAGTGCATAAGCAGGCACTGGCCAGTATGTTTTGAGTGAAGAATCAGTGGCCAGCAGTGGGCAGTGTGTGTTTCTAAAACCACAGCAGCCCCGCTACTGCATCAGAGCACAGGCCCTGCGGCCCCTGCCATGCGTCTGATGGCGAGTCATGCAGGGTTTTTACTGTTAATTAACTATCACTTTTTCATACTTTGTCTGTTGGCCCACAACTGGATGTGAGGATTACTTTCTCCTTCTTTACACCTTAGAAGCCCACGGAAAGGCAGTAAGACGTATTTGTCATGCTAAAGCTATAGATAAATGCAGAAAGTCTAAATTCCTAATTTTCACAAAGTAAATACCTCCTCTTAACTCACTTAACATGCACACTGGGCATAATCAAAAGACAAGCTCATGAGGATTTTCCTGTTAGATGTGAGATCCTCAGAGATTTAACGGCGTGGCTTGTGTGGAAGCTGAGGCTCCACAGAGAGAACCACGCCAGCCACAGGCCTGGGTGTCAAGGCTCACTGTTCTCCGAATGTGAGACCATGAGGCTGAGCGCCACACCCATGTGGCTGGCAGGCCTCACCTTGGCGTTGAGCAGCAGGAACAGCGGATGCTCGGGGGTGGTGTGGGCCCGCCACCGCAGCACGTCTGGCAGGAACAGGAACTGCGGGAAGGGCGCGAGAGGCTCAGTCCTGGCGGGGTCCCACCCGCCCAGGAGGCGCCCCCTCAACCGCTGCCCACCTTACCTTCCTCGCCTGGTCGCTGTCCTCCAAGTGAGCCAGCTCCCTCCCCGAGGCCTGAGCAATTCTCTTCCCGGCAACCAGATTCCCGACAATCATGGAGGCTGGTCCGACCTCTAGAACACGAGGGACTTCTGAGTGAGACGTGGGGGAGTGTGATGGATAATGACACACGACTTCTATTTGCAGGTAGGCACTTGACTCTTCCCTAAGACACAGGTGTTCGGGAAACCAGCTACAAGGTTGGTGCTAAGTATCAGAGACTCTCTCCTCAATGTAAGCAATGCTATCTAAGAAACTCACTGTGTGGCATGTGCCTGGGGGCTCTGATTTGAACTTGGCCACAGCTGAATGCAATGCATTTCACTGAAATCTTCCTGATTAAATGAATTTTACTTAATGGTATTTTATGTGTTCAAATATCAAGAAAAGTTAGCATTTACTAAGAATTTACATAACCAAAGGAATGAAAATGTGTACGTAACAGTTAAATCAGGGAAGGGAAACGCCGTTTGCCGAGACCTCCCAGGTCCCACTGGCCTGGAGGCCATGGCAGATCGCAGCGCTGAGCAGCCCGCCATGGTCCCGTGGGCGTTAAGAGTCCAAGCCCCGGGCACCATCTCTGCCCCCAGGGAGCCACCGCCCAGCCTTCAGAGCCAAGGTGCTAGGCTTGGCTCAGTCCTAGGATGGGCTCTAACAGGCGAGGAGAGCAACCACGACGTGCTCTCATTCCAAGGAGTCAGGAGGCGGTGATGGACTTGGTGTGCCATCTGCTCTGGCTTTTAACCCCATCCCCAAGGGATGTGAGGTCCAACAGGGCAGCACCATTTAAACCCAAGTGTAGCTGCCACTGACTTTAAGGCTGAACAGACATGTGTTGTTGTGTACAACTAACCTGGCTGTTTCTGGCGAGGTTTGGGGAGGTTGGTAACACATGTGTGAGGGCACATTAGCACATTACACGGGTGCAGCATCCCCTCCAGAAAGCGCTGCTTGGTTTCAGAAATGTGAATCCCTCCGAGAGGAGCCTTGGGCAAGGTGTTGGCAGGAACCAGGGCCAGACAGTACACGCCCACCTGGTGGATGCTGTCGACGGCCTGTACAGGGGCAGAGACAAGGAGCTGTGTTTGAGCGCATGCTGGCTCCTCGGGCTGGTGGGAAGCTGGAAGCTGGGAGCAGCCCTGGGCGAGAATACTCAAGACCCTGTGATGTTTTGCTAAGTGAGAAACAGGGAGAGACAAGAGTGTGCTGTGCGTCATTTCACACACACAGACACACACACACACACACAAATTCTGCGTCTGTGTACACGTGGATGGGAATCTGCAACTGTACGTTACAGACAGAAAGTTAGCCAAGCCATAAAAGTGATCACGTGACCTCCTGTGGGAGAAGCCCTGGGAAGGCAGGGCAGAAGCCAGACTCCTCTGAACATACCTTGTTTTCAAATTTGACTTTGGAATCATGTAAGTGTTTTACATACAAAAAACTTAAAAATTGACAAAGCAACCCATAACAACTGAAAGTAAATTAAAACAAATGAACTCAACGAAACTGGAATCAGGTTGGTGGCACAGCCCCACAGAAAGAATGTATTCAAAGTGACTTTAAACATAGCAATTTGATTAGTCCAGTTGTAGTGGGACACACCTTATGGGCAAAAAGAATTGAAAAAACATTGTAAGCTGCTCTTGGAAATCTCATGCTTCAGAGGTTGTGTGGGGACCGCTATTTGGAGACTGAAGTGTGTGCAGAGTGGCCTCAGGTCCAGGAGAACCTCTGCTGCAGTCCTTGACCACTGCAATTCTTCAGTGTGGGAGAAAGAGCAGAGTTACGGAAAAACCCTGAGGACGTGAACTCGAGTTGGAACCAGCAGCATATGCTCATGATGTGGGTGATCTTACAAGAAAGTTGACATCACTTCCTACTCTGTCTGAAAAGAGCCAGTAACATCAAGTGCCCAGATGGTGGTCCTAAATTCAGTTTTCCCCGAAGAAGCAGGGCTCTAGGTCTAGGACATGAACTGCACCACCTCCCCGAGTGTCCGAGCTTCTGCTCTCAGTGTGGCCTCAGAGAACCAGGGGTGTGTCCACAGGACTCAGGAGCTGATCCGAAGAGGCCCCCACTGACCACTGATAAATAAAGAGAATAACTGTAATCCAATAGCCCACAATAAAACAGAAAACAGAACAACTCATTGGTCACTTTCAGAGGCTTCCGGGAACCAGCTTATCCCCCTGAAGTCAACCTTGGACCTCATTTTCCTGCACAACCTGCTACAAAGAAGGCCATGTCCTCTGAACTTGTCTGGGGACCCGGAGGGCAGCTTCTCTTCTTTCTCAAGAGTGTTTTGGCTATTCAGGGTCTTGTGTGTTTCCACAGAAATTTTAACATTGTTTGTTCCAGTTCTGTGAAAAATGTCACTGGTAATTTGCTACAGATTGAGCTAAAGCTGTAGACTGCCTTGGGTAGCGGGGCCATTTTAACAATACCGATTCTTCCAATCCAAGAGAACAGTGTATCTTTCCATCCGTTTGTGTCATCTTCAATTTCTTTCATCAGCATCTTATGGTTTTCAGAGTACAGGTCTCTTGTCTCCTTAGGTAAGTTTATTCCTAAATATTTTATTCTTTTTGATGCAGAATTAATATTGTTAAAATGTCCATATTACCCAAAGCCATCTGCAGATTTAATGCAATCCCTATCAAAATACCCATGACATTTTTCACAAAAATAGAACAAACAATCCTAACATTTGTAGGGAACCACAAAAGACCCTGAATTGTCAAAGCAATCTGGAGGAAGAAGTACAAAGCTGGAGGTATCATGCTCCCTGAGTTAAGGCATTATAAAACTACAGTAATCAAAACATAAAGCTACAGTAATCAAAATCTGAAAGCTACAGTAATCAAATTTGTGGTACTGGCACAAAAACAGATGCGTAGATCAATGGAGCAGAACAGACAGTCCAGAAATGAACCCACATATATGTGGTCACTTAATTTACAACAAAGGAGGCAAAAACATACAACAGTGAAAGACAGCTCAATAAATGGTGTTGGGGAAACTGGACAGCCACACACAAAAGTACAACAGTGAACACCATCTGACACGACACAAAAACTAACTCAAAATAAAGACTTAATATAAGACCTGAAACCATAAAACTCCTAGAAGAAAACACAGGCTACGGTAAACTCCTTGACATTAGTCTTGGTGATAATGTTTTGGATTTGATCCCAAAAGCAAAGGCAACAAAAGCAAAAGTAGACAAGTGGGACAACATCAAACCAAAAGGCTCCTGCACAGCAAAGGAAACCATCAGCAAAATGAAAAGGCAACATACCCAATGAGAGAAAATATCTGCATATTATACATCTATAAACTCATACAACTCAATAGCAAAAAAACCTAAATAAAGCAATTATAAATGGGCAGAAGACCCGGATATTTTTCCAAAGAAGACATACAGATGGCCAACAGACACAGGACAAGATGCTCAACATCAGTAATCATCAGGGACATCAAAACCACCATGAGATGGACCACACACCTGTCAGAAGGGCCATCATTAAAAAGACAAGAAATAACAAGTGTCAGTGAGCATGCGGAAAAGCAGGAACCCTCATGCACTGTTGGTGGGAATGTAAGCTGGTGCAGCCAGAAAGAAACAATATGGCAGTTCCTTAAACAATTGAAAATAGAACCACCATATGACCCAGCAATTCTATTTCTTGGTATTTATCCAAAGAAAATGAAAACACTAACTCAAAAAAACACATGCACCCCAATGTTCATTACAGTGTTATTTACAATTGCCAAGATACAGAACCACCTAAGTGTCCATCAACAGATAACTGGATAAAGAAAATGTGGTATATTTATACAAGGGAATACTTCTCAGCCATAAAGAAGAATAAAAGCTTGCCGTTCGCAACAACATGGATGAACCTTGAGGACATTATGCAAAGTGACGTAAATCAGATGGAGAAAGACAAATACCGTATGATCTCTCACATGAGGAATCTAAAAACCAAGAAACAGCTCACAGACAGAACAGACTGGTAGCTGCCAGAGGCTGGACTGGAGGTGGGAGAAATGGGTGAAGGGGTCAAAAGGCATGATGTCCAGTTATGAGATGAATGAATTCTGGGGATGTGATATACAGCAGGGTGGCCACAGTTAATACTACTGTATTGCGTACTTGAAAGCTGATCAGAGTAGATTTTAAGTTTTCATCGCAAGAAAAAAATTCTGTAACATGTGTTGATGGATGTTAACTAGACTTACTGTGATTATTTCAGTGTAGAACAGACATCTGATCATTGTTATACCTAAAACTAATATAGTGTCAATTATACCTTAAAATTTTTAAAAAGTTATTGTTTTAAGATGTGACGCTGGTATGTCTTTTCTAAAGAAACAGATACTACAATTTGCAGATAAAACCTGTGGTGTTGGGACCTGTTTCAGAACACTCCTGAGGGAGAAGGAGGGGCAGGTGGGGTGCAGGCAGGATCTGGCCTGATAGCCAGTGAAGCAGGAGGCAGGAAATGCGAGAGCTGTTACACTCTTCTTCGTATGTTTAGTTCATCAGAAATATTCCACAATAAAACACTAATATTTTTATTAAAAACAAAAGTAAATATTAGAAAAGTGATCTCTGAGGCTCAGGCCTGGCCTCGCTGACAGGGCGAACCCGGGCCCACTGGACCTCAGCCGCCTCAGACAGGTCCCCTCCAGGGAGGATGGGGCCCTGAACCCTCCACAACCGACCTGCACATGTTGGGACAGCAGTGGCTTCTCTGAAAAGAGGCCAAGACTAGACTTCATCGCTTGTCCACAGCAGCTTTACCCCCACTGCCAGAAATTTGCCCCACTGTCCACCAAGACGGGAACAGAAAAGCAAAGGAACACAGCTTGGCCATAGGGGAAAGGGCCACGGGTCCACCCACCACCACGGGGAGCGGCAGCCTACCTACAGACCAGCGGTGCGTTGGGGGCGGGGTGCTCTTCCAGCCACTACAGGGTGACCCATCTGTCAGACCTGCCACCCCACGCACCTGAAAACCAGCTCACTGTGCGTGTGGGTTACATTCAGGAAGGTTGGCTGGTAGATCCTCCCCAAGAGGCAAGTCCAAGGTTTGTGCTCCTCCTTGAACCTGAATTTCATCCCGCCCCGCCCAGGAGAACGCGCAGAGACTGGTTCAGGGTTCAGGATGTGAAGGAAGGGCAGGAGGGGCAGCACACAGCTCCAGGGACGTGACGGCAGGCACAGGGCCCAGGCCACACCTCTGACCTCCCCACAAGCTGAAGGGCACAGGGGCCCTGGGCAGCACCTCCATCCCCGCCTCGCACCTGCAGCACGCGGCTCATCCACCGGAAGCTGTCCTCCTCGGAGGCGTCGGGCCGCTGCTCTGCCACCAGCACAATCCGGTCTTCGCGCAGCACCGGCACAGAGAACACCGCCACCCTGGGGATAGGGATGGCGCCCAGGCAGCCCAGGCGCAGATGCCTCGTGTCATGAAGCCGTGGGCTGGTGGGCAGCCATGCAGCTCTGTGCCCCACTTCCCCACCAATGCTAAACAGAAGAAAGAGGTGGGGAAGCAGCTGGTGTCCTGCAAAGGGACATCCCCTCTTTCCCAAGATGCCTCTTTGTGCAAGAATCTTCTTGGAGAGGTTCTAGTTACTACACATTTTCAGTCCAACTGATTAAGTCTCTCCCAGTGAGCGGATCTGCTATGTCTGTGACAGGGAAGCGGACCTGTTTCTCCACTATCTCCCTTCCTCCCTTAGACTCTGTGCTGACCCCACCCCCGAAAGTCGAGCACTGTGTCCCCAACCAGCCTGCATATCTGCTGGTCCAGCCCCGGGCTGTTAGGCACACCCCTTGCGCGCGGGGACAGGCCTGCACGTGCACCACACTTTTATGCAGCACTTTACCCAGTTTTAAAACTTCCTTACTTTCATACATCTTGTTTCTCTTAGTACCTCACCTGAAAGTGTTCTCACAAAAACAGTTTCCTAAGACAAAACTTCTGAAACTTAACACATCCAAAGCATCTCTATTACAACTGCATTGTCAAGTGACAATTTGGGGTGGACATAAAGTCTAGAAGTTCCTTTGAAAAACCTAAAAACGTTCTTGCACTGCGTCCTCCTCGTCCCAGCAGACGTACGAGGCTGGGAGACCCCACCCTGCGGACCCTCCTCTCTGGGTCTGCTGTCTGGGTGCCAGCCCTTCTTGCCCACTTCTCTTACTCCGTCTGTTACTCTGCTGCTTTACTTCTGCAGTAGCGTCTCAGCCTGGCTTCCCAGAGAACCAGCTCACTTTCCCGCTGTCCGCCCTACACTTACTCCATCTATGAAACGACCGTCTTGTTACCACGATGTCTGGTATTACTTCCTGCTGCGAGGCAGGCTCCACTTCCTGTGCACAGCTCCTCCCTGGTCGAGCCACCCGTCCCCACCCTAACTGCCTCATCAAGGAGAGCCCTTCACCCCCAGGTGCTATTTGTTCTGGTGGCCAGGTGAGGAGGCAGTCCCCAGTGGACACCTGCGCCAACAGTGCCCCGGTTTCTGCTGAGTCCCACGTCCCCAATCCAGGCTGCAGGGTTCACACCGCAGGCCTGCCGGCTGGCTTCTCCTAAACAGCCACCCACACCCTCACCCTGACTGTGCTGACCCACCACAGGCCAAATTCCCTGGTTTCTTTAAGGTATACTCTTAAGGAAGGCTCCGGACAAGCTCCCAGGCACCCTGGTCTGAGCAATAAAAGCACCCCCTTAAGAAAAATAAATTTAAGAAATGCAGTCGGCCGAGTGGACCAACTAGGAGGAGGAGCTACTCCCTCCAGGACAAAGAGCTTTGCAGCCAGACCAACTGGACAGGGCCCCCTCCTCCCTCCAGCTGCCCTGGGGCCTGGGCCAGGGGCCCCTTTATTTGCTCTACGGAAATTAGAAACTTTAAAGTGCTTGCCGACCATGTTCAGAAAAGGTGGCCCAGGAGCAAGGTCTCGTTAAACCTTGGTGACTTCAGAGAAGACGGTGCTCTCTGTCCCAGCCGCACCTCTGGGTATCGGGATGCTGGGCAGCGCCTGCCCTCGCCACACCACTCATTCCATGGCACCTGTGCCTGGTCTCAGCTTTGAATCTCACCCTCCTAAGGAACCAGCTGAGCTCTGTGGACACTGAGGACACTGATTCTGGCATCCTTCCTCCAAACACCACCCTTTTCTTTGTGAAGTTTCTCTGACGAACAGAAATGCTTAGTGTATTCATATCACTGGGCTGTCCTTCCTGAATGTTCAGCAGAGGAGAATCTAAAGGCACAGCACGGGGACCCACAGTGCATCACCTGCCTCTGTAGACAAACTTCATGGGCTCCACGGCCAGCGCGGTGGCTACAATGTCGTCTGCATTGTGTCTGCGAACTCCCACCACCATCAGCCCGTCCAGCTTGCCCACGACAAAGACCAGGTCATCCTGAGGACAAGGGTGCGGTCAGGGCTCAGACCCTGCTGCAGGCTCTGATGGCACATGGAGACCTAGAGACTCGGTGACGGGGATGGGGAAACCCAGGGCGGGGCGACCATGGTGAAGGGGTCTGACAGCCTGGTGGGGTGGAGTGGGAGCAAGGGGGCACCCAGGGAAGGGGTCAGCACAAGAAGGGCCAGGGGTGGGAATATGGACTACAGCTGTGGGTGAAGTCTGCAAAGGACCTAATGCTGCTGGGCCAAGGGCCAGGATCCCAAACTCGCATCAGTGGCGTCTGAGAGAACTGCATCCCGGGTCTCCAGATGCCACTGGATGCCGGCAGCACCCCTCCCCCGGCCATGCGCCCAACTGGAGGCCCGGGCCCTGGCAGCGGGACATACTCACAGGCCCAATGAAGCCCAGCAGCCCCGTCCTGGTGAAAGGCCTGTCGGAGACGGGTGCTCCCCCAGCAGTCACCGGGACCGTCTGCACAGAGTTGGGGGGCTAAGGTCAGCCGTGGCCCATGGGGAATCAGTCAACTGGCAGGCAGACAGGGGCTGCCTGCACTGGGTGTGGCCCCTCAGATGGGCTGTCACTCGCTGCCCTGGTGGGGAAGAGGCTCCGCGGGGCCAGAGTCCCTGCCCCTGCGAGGCCCGCTGGGCACCTGGGCCCTGCACGGCCCTCGTGGCCTATGCGCCTCCCCCGATCCCGGCGCCTGGCCCAGAGGAATGGGCGCGTGCTGGGCTCTCTGGACAACCCAACTCCAGCACGCAGAGTGCCAGCTGCCCTGGGCCAACCTCAACCCGCCAGGCCTGAGGGCACCTGCTTAGCGCTGACGCGGCAGTGTGGGCACCGCGGAGGCGGAGGGCTGCCCTCTCCCCACACACCTCGCCTACCCCCTGCACTGCAGCTGCAAGCTTGATTCCAACACAAAGGTCGGAATGAGGTACGGACCTCAAAGACGTTCTTCGTGATTCCAAGCAGACCGTAGTACGCTGCAGCAGTTGCACTGGAGCTGACACATATTTCTCCAACTTCATCAGTTTTACAAAGATAAGGGGTACCTTCCACCTTCACAACACAGACATTAGCTAGAAAGAGAAAACCCTCAAAGTCATGAAGAATGCGTTCAGAAGGATCACTCACAACGATCTGCTTGCTCGGTATCTGCAGAGCAGAAACGTTACGGGTGTTTCATGGCACAGATACCTCACACCCTCTAGTCACAGCCTGTGTGTCTCATATGGTCCGTGGAGGAAGCCTCCTCCACACAGGAAGCACGGCGGCCGGGAAGGGCTCTCAGACACGCAGACTCCATGGTTCCTTCCCTGCACGCCCTCCTGAACCCCCGGGAGATGGCCACTACCTCACACCATTGCCTTCGAGGCCAGCTCCTGCCCCAGAGCCTGGTGGACCCCTCTCCGGGCCGTGGGCTAGTCCCATCACGCAGGCCTTTCTGTGGCCCCTCCCATGGCCCCTTCTGTCTTCACCAAGCAGCACCCTGAAGGATGCTGCTGCCTGTGGCCCTGCCTCTCAGCTCTGGGGACCTTGCCCATCTGGTCACTACAGCCCTGGCCACCGACCGGGCCACAGAGCAGGCATCCAGAAAGGCCCTGACAAGAGCAACACACACACCAGAACGCACAGTGGCCCTAAACAGAACTCAGACCCTCAGGGACAAACGGAACAACCTGCAGTCCTGGACGCACTCCTTCCCTCGCCTCTGCCTGAGGTTTCCTGGTGAGTTCTGTCTCAGAGACGCAGCGAGGAAAGAGGATGAGGGCAACTGGTCAGCTGTGTCTGAGGACGTGCAACTCAGATGGAAGCTTCAGCGGAGGGTCAGAGGGGTAGTGAGTGGAGGGTGGGGCTACAGTGCACCTGCCCCCAGGTACACATGCTCACGTGCACTCACACAAAACAGAGACCCCGCCTGAGTCACAATCAGACAGAACCCACCAACCCTGCATGTCGTGGTATCACACACCCTGGGGCTGACATGGCAGGAGGCAGCGCATCTGCCAAGACAAGACACTAGATCAGGTCTGCACTGCGCGGCAAACAGACGCACCCTCGGGAGCAGGTACACACACACATGCCCAGGGGACCACGTGCACACACACCCCCCAGGAGACCACGTGCACACACACACACACACACACCCCGCCCCCACGAGAGCATGTGCACACACACATGCCCAGGGGACCACGTGCACACACGCACCCACCCCAGGAGAACACGTGCACACACACCCCCCCCAGGGGAGCACGTGCACACCCACCCCCGGAAAGTACGTGCACACACATCCCCTCAGGGGACCATGTGCACACGTGCACACACACACACACACACACCCCCGGGGAGCACGTGCACACCCACCCCCAGAAAGTACGTGAACACACATCCCCTCAGGGGACCATGTGCACACGTGCACACACACACACACACACACCGCCCCCAGGAGAGCACATGCACACACACACATGCCCAGGGGACCATGTACACATACACACACCCCCACCCACCAGGGGAGCATGTGCACACAGACATGCCCAGGGGACCATGTACATACACACACACACACACACACACACACACACACACACACGTTTAACGGAAAAAATTAAATGAGCTCTACTATGAAAGTCCTTAGTTTCATTCAAAAGAATCACCTGTTACAATACTCCAACAATCTTTTAAAGAAATACTGTGCCCTCCTCCTGATAACTAAGAATTAGACCCTGTTCTTTATTCTTCTTAAAATGTTCATCCTCGTGTTCATTCTTCATAACTGATGAGTCCTTATTTTTGGTAGACTTACACAAAGGGAAAAAAAGAGAACTCATGTTTCTAAAAGAGTGGAGCTAGAAATAAATGTATATGTCCAGTCTTATTCTAAGTGTCGTGACCTCTGCACACACAGAGTCAGACAGCCGACCTGAGGCTGTCCCTCTGGTTCCTGCCCTGTACCTGAGCTGGGATTACGCGGTGTCCACGAGCACCTGGGGGATGCAGGGCTGCAGACACAGGGCCAGGGCCTGGGAGCCTGCACCACTAGCAGTGCTGGGCAGGGAGACTGATGCAGAGCAGGGAGCCGGCCTCCGGAGGTCATCTGGTGGGTCCAGACAGCAGCCGGGACCCCAGCAGGGCCAGCGTGGGTAGGAGGGGAGCTGGAGCTGCCGTGGGGTCACCATGGGGAGAGGGTATCTCAGAGCACATAGCAAGCAGGGCGCACCCCACTCACAACTGCCACGGGGCCTCCCAGGTCGGGCTCTGCTCCTCCTTCTCCCCATGACACTGCATGCATGTCACCACGTGTGCAAGCACCCACAGGAGACCTGCAGGGAGATGGCGCCCTCACCCTGCCTCACTCACTGCCGCAGGAGGCAGAAAGCCCACAGCGCGGGTGTCCTTCAGGCCCGCAGGGCCCTTCTGGAACCACAGGCGCTCCTGGGAGTCTTCAGTGCCAGGCCACTCACTTAAGACGTCCTTGCTCGGACATACGAGGCAGCCTAAGAACTGGGTCATCGGCAGACGTGGGTGAGGCATGAAGACGGCCTGGCGCCCTGCAAGCTCCGTCACTGTCTCCCAAACACCAGAGAACCAGGGCTGGTTCACAGGCCAGAAAAACATCCCACAGTACTTTAGCACAACTTTAAACTTGATATAAAGGGAGGCAAAAACTGAAAAAAATATGTTACAAATTAACATCCCAGTTTCCACGTGGAACCACTTTAACATGTGCAGGATCTGTGCACTTCCTGAGTCGTGGCTGGGTCACTCGACCACAGGACAAGGAAGCTCTCCAGCTGCAACCTTACCTCCTGGCATCACCTGACCGACGTCCTGAACGGTCAGGACCGACAGCTTCTCTTCTGCGTCCACCCTGATCACCCCATGACTGAGGCCACTCATGGACAGCACAGCTCTTCTGGGAGGAGGGCCTCCCAGGTCAGGTGGCCTGGAAACAGAACCGGATTAACAGACAGGCACCCCAAGGCTGGAGTCTGGCCCGAGACTGCACGCAGGGAGGACGGTGGCAGCTACCCAGCCCCATCAGCCTGGAGCCCATCCAACTGCAAGCCAGAACTGCCCAGTGCAGCCCCTCCAAGGCCCGACCGCGGAGGGCATGAGAGGAAATAAAGTAACTGCTGCTGTTTCCAGGCACCGAGCTTGGGTGTGGCTTGTTACACATCAGCACTAACTGGGGTGTTGTATAGTCTCCAGTGAGAAAAACTTACACTGTCAAGCAAAAGAAAGCACCACAGATAAAGGAATGAAAATGCCTTACGGTCTGTGAAGGATACAGATGTTCTTTTGAGTGCTATTCATTATTGGAATTTTAGGATTACTTACTACTATTTACAAATACATGAACGTAACACAAGACTACAGCTGAGACTAACTTCCTAACAACTAAATTGAGGGTAGAAAGTCAACACGAAGTCACCTCAGCTACCCTCTACCCCAGGATGGGATGAGGTGGGCACAGAGGTGACCCGGCAGGAAGGTGAGCAGAGGGCACTACTGCAGGGGCCTGGGGAGCGATACGGGGGCGAGGAAGGAGCACAAGGCTGCCCTCCGAGGCCTCCCAACCCCGCTGTCCACCTTCAAACAGAGGAGCACAGAGCACAAAGAGAACACAGCCTGGGGGCGGCGGGGCCCGGCGGCTTCTCTGGGGAGGTTAAGGGTTCTGCAGGTATGGACCCCCATCCACGGCTGATGGGCGTTGGATGCTGGCCACCCCACCGTAGAACAGGGGCGAGTCCTGGGCTGCAATGTTCCCTGTGGGACACAAGCCTTCCTGACCTGAGAAGCACACGGGAAAACAGCCTGTGTGTCGCAAGAATCTAGACATTATCGCCCAGGAAACTGCTATCCATCTCACGCCACAAACCCAGGCTGGTGTGGGGTGTGCAGCCAACACGGTGTGGAGTGTGGCACCTGCCCAGGGCTGCCCCATCGCAGCACAGACGGGCCTGGGAGACCTGCCTGGGGCGAGCACTGCTCACGATTTCTACTGCTCAGGAACAAATGATCCAAATTTGCTACCACAGGTGACTCAGCTGAATGAGGAAGCGTTAAGCGTCTCCAAGACAGAGCAAGTGGTCAGCTACCTGCGGATGGCAACCGTGAGTGCCTCCGGAGAACTGGCACAAGGACAGATGACCTCTGGCCTCAGTCCTCTGGACTGGAAGACATTGAGGAATGCGTCACAGGAGGATATGGACCCTGCGTGAAACAGAGAGGGGGACACGAGGTAAGTGGAAGGCTGACGGGCACACAGCTTGGAAGGATGCCCGATGCCAAGCCTGGAGGTGGCACCCCTTCCACCTCACAGGTATCCCAGCCAAGTCCTGTGGGGAGGGGGTGGGGCTGTTTCCACAAGAAACGAGCTGCATTTTCAAATCACCAGTAAAGAAACCCCTGTGTTGTGTCTGAGATCTATGCAGGGCCAGCCCCGCCGCATCACCTCGTAGGGCCAAGTGGGAGGTGACCGAGGGCATTTACGGAGCCAGAGCTGAACCTTTCACAGCACAGGCCCAGGTGCACATGCCCACCCTCCCCCAGACATGCCTCAGAGATGCACAGTCTGCCAAGTGGCCTCAGTCAAGGTGCCAGGGATATGAAAACTCGGCTCCCATGAGGCTGGGTGCTGGCTGCTAAGGGCCTGAATCACCTGCACCACGACCTGCAGCCCTTTGCCGCAGCGAGGCCCCAGGAGAGGAGAGGACCTGTCACAGGTCCTTGCGTCCAGCCTCCACTGGGCATGGGGCACACCAGAGGACAAACAGGATAATCCAGACCACTCAACGCTACAGGTAACGATGGGCCCGCTGCGTGGCAAGGGTCTGAGGTCTGTGGGGGGCCGGCCTGGGGAGGGGCCCCCCGGCAGCTGGTGGGCTGTGCTGAGGGTGTGGGTACAGATGCAGAGCAGCCAGCAGTTCTGCCGGACTTTGGAAGCAGGACAAGGGGCCCTGTTTAAGTGTGGGTGGGCTGCTAGAAGGCAGGGTGTCCTCCCAAGCGACGGGCTTCCTAGGAGCCCGGGGGGGTCAGGGCCACACTGGAAGGGGATCAGACGGAAGGCGGCCTCTGGTCCAGGGCAGTTTCGATGCATGAACAGTGACACACAGTTGTTAAATCAGTGAAAAAACTCCTGCCCACCCAGTCTAGGGTTCTGCTGTGGGAAAATCCCACCAAAGGTAAACCAAGGCTCCCGAGGACGCCCTGAGCAGGCCCTGGACCACGAGCAGCTACACTCAGACCCCGTGCAGAGCCTGGGGCGCCGGCCAGGAGGACGCGGGGCGGCCAGGCACGCAGAGTGGTCTGACCAGTGTGGTGGGCACAAGGCCACAGGGCAGGACCTCAAAGGAGGCTCCTTGTTTGTATCTACACCCTGGTCAGCTGGGTCAGAACCATTTCAAGTGCAAGGCCTGACAAACATGCCCGAGGCACACTCGTGAGTCACGCGTCTATGTTCACGTGACACTGCGGCCCTGTCCCTCTGGAGGCTCCAGGCCTGCAGGACCCGCGGGGCTCACTCACAGGGGTTCGCGCCGTCGGCCACAATCAGCATGCGCAGGGAGCTGAGGCTAACGTCCCTCTGACCGCGCTGAGCCAGCAGAGACCAGTGCATGTCACGGGACTTCACCAGTGCGGCCCGAGCTGCAGAGAAGGGGGATGGGCCTGGGTCACAGGGAGCAGGTGCACAGGTGCGCAGGCAGCACACAAGAGCAGAGATGCGGCTTCTTCAGGACACACAGTCTCTGCAGCCGAGCCTCGCAGGCAGCTTAACCCACCCCATCCTGTTTTAACTGAAAACCAGCTTTGAGGTGTAACGCAGGGACAGTAAGCTCACTTTCAACTCTGACTCCCAGACTCTCTTCTGTCTTGTGCGGCCCCTCCCGGAGTTCCCGACTCTCACAGCCGCTCGCAGCTGTATGGTCGGCCCGTCAGCTACCAGAGCCCTGGGGGCATGTGGGGTGGGCAGGGAGGACCCAGGGTGCAAATGGGCAGACTGGGCCTCTCACAAGTGGGCAGCACCCACCAAATGTCCCCAGCAGGCTTCAGTCTTCCTCTGTTAAACAGGATAAGCAGAGACTGTCCCACTGGGGACGATTCCAAACACACTGCAGAGCACCCACACTCAGAAAGAACGTAGGCCGAAAGCCCACACGGGCACCCAGGACAAGCCAGTGAGAAGACGGAAGAGGCCCGGCCTCCGTGCTCCGTGGGTGTGGCTGTGCTCAGGAAGCACCGTGACTGACCAAAGCTGGACAGCACGGCAGGGTGAGGCCCTAGGGGCAGACCCATCGCTCTATGTCATAAACTTCACCTGAACAAACAGCTTTGCTACTGGTGTCTTGCAAAGCCCTAACTTAAAATTAGAACCATCAGAAGTACGAAGAAATAGGAGCATTTGTGTCAGAAAACACAATTAGGAAGAAATCCGTGGCCCCTGTAGAAAAGAGCTGTTCTCCCCAAGGCCCCTCCAGCCTTGCTTGCAGGACAGCCTGCAGCTGGCGCTGGGAGTCAGGACCAGCGTGGATGGGGGACCCGAGCCACGACAGGCTGGTGGATGGGGCTCCACCGCTCACGCCTGCTTTATCTTTTCTCCATCACTGAAGGTCAATTCAGAGAGGCTTCTCTAATGTGGGGGGGAACCAAGTGATGGTACGACATCCTGTTACCTTTATATGCACACACTTTCTGAATCCAGGAGAGCGGGTTTGCCTTCATCAGCGCGTACGGGATGCTGACCACGTGCATCCTGTTCAGGACGCTCTGCAAAGAGACAGGCTGTCAGGGGCGGGGCACCAGCCCCACCAGGAAGGGAGGATGGAGCCCCAGTGTTCTGCCCACAGGGACAGTGCAGTCAGAGACACTTCAAGGTTTAGTCACATCACCTAAACATGGGGTTTGGTGCCCTCATCATGAAATGTCCCAACAACCAGACCACGAAGCGAGCGACACTCACTGTTAACACTCCATGCCACAGGCCAGCGTCCCTTTTGAAATCCAGCACATTTGTTAATGTTTCAGCTGAAAGTGGACAGAGATGGATAAACCGCTGAGGGACCGTCTTCACTAGTCACGTGCATTTTCAGAGAAACTCTGAGGTGATTACATCATCGACCAAGACTTAGGAAACACAAACAGCATTTCCAAACACCATGCAACAGGTGTCAGTAATCCTGGTTATCTACTCAAATTACTGGAAAGACATAAAAGTAGAAGGTCATGTGTGGATGAAAGCAGAGCAGCATGCCGACCACTGATCTGAAAACCCAGACAAGCCTCAGAGCCCGTGTGATGTGAGGCTCGGGGCGGCTGTGGGTTGCCCTGCTCAGCCCGACGCCCACACCCCTCACTTCCTGCAGCACCGAGGCCATCATCCAGCACTCCCAGGACACGTCACATGCTCCTGTGTCGCTTCCCTTCAGAGCTGCTGCTTCCCGCTTGCCCCTTCCCTCTCCCGAAGCCTGTGACGGACGCCTTTCAGGGAGCAGGAGTGGATGTCAGTCCCAGGGCTGCCCCTCAGTGCGCCCTGAGCTTAGTGCCCCAGCTGTGTTCTCGGTGGGACCCGGCTCCAGGCCCCACTTGGGGCCGAGGACAGAGCCTAGGGCTGCTAGGTGCACCCATGGGAGAAACACCAGAGGTGAAGGAGGTAGCGTGATCATGTGCCAGGAATGCTGCTGCACTGTGAACAGGAGTACTGTACATGTGCCCCCTTGTTGGCTAAAGAGCCCCAATTGTAGGTGATGGACGTAAGGCCGGGACTCTTAGTTGACAGAACTGTTGAAACATTCTGTAGGCCCTTCAGTGCACCTACAATCGTTTTCCAAACGTCCACTGAAGTCTTCAGCTGTGCCTTCAGCTACCCCTTGCTTTTATACACTGGTATTTTACATCTTAAACATACCATTTAATTCACTTTCTTGTTTTGTCCAATTCCAGTATTTCAACGGGAAGAAGCTCCCCATGCTGCGCACCTGGTACTCCACAGTAAACAGGGAGCTACTGTGCATTACTAAGAGACAGGCTCCTTCCAAGAAGGTTCTGCTGGCACACCCAAGTGCGCGACAGCTTAAGCCAACGCCAGTCACGGTGAACCGTAAGAGTAAGTGTGTCTTGACGGGAAAACGCGATGTGCTGGGAGCAGCCCACTGGGCCCCAGGCAGCGGGAGGGAAGCGGGTTTCACCCTGTTAGGTCAACAGATCACCCTAACCCCGCCTGTCCAGGGTAGCAGGGGCCCCAAGTACCCAGGCTGCTGCACGACCTGGACTGAACAGCAGATGCCACGTAGGGCTGGCTCCCACACAGTCAGTGTCCAAGTGCCCTGTGCACGGCTGCAGAGCCACCCACGTGCCCTTACCTTCCGAGAAGCCGCAAGCTTGGGTCAGGGCCCGGCACTGTGCCAGCAGGGACGCGTGGGGCACTGCGATCCCCACTGTGCTGCCTTCCTTGCTGGTTTTATACTGAAAAATTTCAGAAACAAGCTCATGAGGTGACATTTCTGGAGGTCAAGGTGGCACCTCCCTCACTAACCACCTGTTCGGCTGAGTGCACTTCATACTGGGGCCCCCAAGGTGACAACCTTGGCTGTGGTCGGGCCCAACCTGGGCAGGTGCTGAGGGTGACAGTGCACCAAGCCCCCCACCAAGCCACATCCCAGGGGCAGCGAGAGAACTGGCAGGCGTGAAAGCGGAAGGACCTGCGTGAGTCTCCATAGGAACCTTCATGTCTCTGGGGTGAGGACAAGCCGGTAGAAACTGTGGCCAGTGGCCCGTCATGGCAGCAGTGACACCCGCAGAACAAGTCCCGGCCAGCAAAGGTCCTACCTCGATGTAGGCGGGCCCAGTCCCTGAGTCCCGGGCCGGTGGGAGCCAGTCCCTGGGGGGCTTGGTCAAGTGCTTCCCATCCACCAGCAGCCAGGTGAGGGGGGGCCAGCCTGCAAGGAAGCAGGGGACATCGCGCACGTGCGGTCAGAGGGCCCCGCCGTCCTCCACGCGGCTCGAGCTGCCGACACGAGGACGCGCCTCCGCCCCTTAACCTGTACTAACTTCTGCCTGCCGGCCAGTGGCTACCACACAGAACAGCACAGGTCTAGACCCTGAGCCGTGAGGCACAAGGTTCACCAAGGCCCGAGACAGGGCCTCGCTTCTGCTGGAGGCCCTTCCGCGCTGCCCAGAGACCAGCTGGAAAGGGGGTCGGAGCGCCCGTTTACAGAGGGCTCAGCCACACGCCACCCTGCCCGTGGGGCCCACCTTTGAAGGTCGCCACCTCTCCGGTCTGGGCCTTGGGCAGGCCCTTCTGACAAGCGTCCGTGGTCAGGGCCAGGGTGATGCCACAGCTGCCCAGCAGAAACCCGACCTGCTGGCTGCCGGCATCCTACGGGAGACAGAGGCGGCAGGAGGCTCAGCCACAGAGCAGAGCTGTTTTCACCCTTCACAAAGCTTCTACAGCAACTTAGCCCTGTATCAGAATACGCTATATTTTTTTCAAAATGAAATGTAATTTTATTAATAAAAAGATTTTTTTAATAAAAAGGTATTGTTTTTGCTGTGACATATTAAGTTCTGGGTAATGGGCTAATTTCTCCAAAGTTTTTTTCTTGCAAATGACATTTAGCAGCATTTTAACAAACCCCCCAAATAATTAAAAATAGCACTGACATTTGCACTTCATTACCTGACCTTTAGCACTGACTTACTTCCACACAGAAATGCTCATTTCATTTTAGTCATGTCTTCTTTCACACATGTCCCTCTGTAACGTTTTATCATTTTCTTCTAACAAGTTTAACAGTCTATTTTTCCCTAAGAATCTCTGCTCAAACACCCATTCATCGTGTATTATTATCCTTGGGGTACACTGCTTTTACTCACAAACTTTACTTCTGGGATTCTTGCGGACTCTTGCTGATAACACGCATGTTAACAATCGCCTGAACACTGGGTTATAATAGGAAACTCTGGTTTTCTAAAAATACATGCCAAGTCTAATACATTTTTCAATAATCAGATTACTGATATTTATAGCTAAAAATGTGGCAGCCACCCAGAGCATCAGCACCCACCGCGATCGTCTGTCAGCAATGAAAGTTGCTTGCTGTTAAACAACAAACAGAAATGCAAGAGAATTTCAGTCTTGCATGTTGAAAGCTATCACCAGGAAATGAGCTGACACATCGGTGTAATGATTTACTTATCCCCAAGAAATGAAAGCTGTTATCAATAAACATACTGTTTTGAGAAAAAAAGTTTAACAAAACCTCATCAAATCCCAAATTCGATTCACTGGAGGAAAAACGTTTGTTTCTGTCGGGGAATCCACAGAGGTGGTCACTAGCCCCACAACGGCTGCTCTAAGTACCCCCTCTCACCAGCAAGACAGTAAACAAGGGTCTGGAGACGGGGCTGCCCGAGCGCCCCTGAGGCTGGCCCGCCTGCCCTCCCCAGACAGTGCCTGGAGTGAGGAGACAGAGGCCCCGGACTTGAGAGCCGGCTGCACCCCTGAACTACCTTTCTCGTCAGCGGCACTTCTATGGGCACAGGAACCAGCCCTGCCAGGAGGCACCCGTAGAACGCCACCATGAACGCCACCGGGTCGCTGTTCGGAAACACCAATGCCACCTACAAGGGTACAAAGAAAACCCATGAAATCCCCTCTAGAATAACTCTGTCGTCTGAATATCTGCTGCTGAGATGGAATTTTGTTCAGAAAGTATACTTTGGGGCTTAATGCTTGGTCCTTAAGTTTCTTCAACCATGTAACTTCTAATATGTAGTTTTTAGATTGAGGTCTTTACCCCACGTGCAACCACATAGCGTTAAATTCCTGGTTTTAAAAGGCAAGTCCAGGGGGTCTGCCTGTGGGGTCTAGATCTGGCTCCATCCCCTCTGACCATCCAGGCAGCAGCAACTCAGGGAGGAAATGGCGGGCCGTTACCTGCCATCGACCAGCGCAGGTGAAAAACACCTGGACATGAAAAGGGAACCAGGAGCCAAAGTGCCTCCCAGTTATCTCCCAAAAGAAAAAATTCTGACATCAGAGTTTTGCTTGGACAGAACTTCACGCAAGACTGAAACACCAACAGGGATGTGAGGTAGGCACAGAGCCCCTGAGTGGAGACCCTCCTGGCGGCCACTCTCCGCCGCTGGCTGGTCACTGTGAGGCCACCCCTCCCCACCCAGCAAGGCAGCTGCTTTTAACATTCACATCTTCCTTCTGCTAACTGCTCTCACCTTTCTAGACGCTGTGCTTATATGGCTGTAACTAATTTTTGAAAGTATTCAGATACGCATTTTACTTCCTCTTACTGCAGGTGACTACTGACAATTTTGAGTTCTCCCCTTCCTCTTCTCCCATCGTCCAATTTCCACTTCTTATAATATCTAGTTGAATTACAAGTTATTTATGGAATGACATTGTTGTAAGCCCCAAATATTGCAGTAAGTATGCCTGAAACCATCAGTGATGGTTCAGAACAATATCTGAGTCTACTGTTAACACGAGGCCTTTGAGGACACAAAATGAAGAGCAACTGATAACCCACGACTTCAAAAGACAAAATTTAAGCTATAGCTATGTTCATTCTGTACTGGAGGTCTGGAAATCAAGCTTCCAAAAAGTCTATATGTTGAAAACGGCAGAGATCTCCTTTAAAAGTTGATGCTAACAGTGGTTGTTACCTTTTAAGAACTGTGCCTTGTTGTTTGGTACAGGACGTGCATTTTCAGAGCATCTGTTATAAAGAGCTGTGTTTGTTCACTTTTATAAAGCACATCACCGCAGGAGGATGG